TGTTACAGGTGTGGAACCAGGGGAAGTTGATCAGGGGCACACACACACAGTCGTTTTGTGTCCATCCAAGGCAGAGGAGCTGTGCTTGCAGGAGTGCACACGCCTGCACCTCATGGCACAGGGATCTGCTTTCTTGCCTGAACTACAGGGGTTGTTTTCCTGAGGTTTTATAGCCATTTTGGACAAGTTGGCATGATGGCTCTGTTACGCGGTGTGGATTTTTTTTCTTTTAACAGTGATCTCCAAAGAGATTATTTTTAATGAATGTGTCCTTTTTTTTCTTACTCAGTGCATAAAAATGGCTCAAGGGCTCATATTCTTTCCCTGTCTCCCTTGCTGGCCTCTCCTCAAACAACAAAAGAAAGGCATCTTTCTTTTCTTGACTTGGAGTTAGCAACGATGTTAGTTTTGGGATTTTGGAATTTTCTCAGTGGGGCGAGTGCGGTTTTGTTTTGTTTTTGTTTTTTTTTTTAAATCTGTTTTTTTTTGGGGTCGGGATTTTATTGTGGAGAGGGGTCTGGGGATCTTGGGTCTCGCTGCACTTGTGTGAACTCTTAACACCTTAATTGAAGGGGTGGAGATGCTGAATCACTAACAAAGACCTCCTTTATCCAAAATGTTAATCAATCATTGACGTTAAATAAGTGTGAACAAAACCAAGCAAAAAAAAAACCCACCCTAAACAAGTTTTTGTGTAAGTCCCCCTCCCATTCAGCTGCTCATCTTTGGTCAGGTTAACGTGATAAATTCTTTTGGGGGTGTATTTTGTGCCTGTGCACTTGGTTTTTGCAGTGTTTGGTAAAAGTTCTGTTTATGATTTCCTAGTGTAGTTTTCCCAATAGGTTATTTAGCTTCTACATATCTAAAGATGTTCTGGGAGAAATTGTGGTTTGCTCTGGTGTGGGGGAGTAGCTGGACTATGATGGTACTGTTGTGACCATCTTTTTGTATGCTAGGGTTTTTATTTTCTTGTTTGTTTTGGGGAGGTATTTTCCTTTGCTCTCTTGTGATCAGTTAATTTGTTTATTGGTCAACACAATCTTCTAAGCTAGGCAGGACCTGAATTTTAATGTGAAAGAAAATAAATAGGTTTCTGCTCATACAGCCAGAAACTTCGTAGATCTTTTCTGTATATTATGAATACAAAGGGTGTGGACTCTTTCTTCCCTGTGCTTTCCCCCTCCTTCCTCCCCATCTTGGCATTTCATCTTTACAGTTCATGTGCTTGGATTGTTTTCAGTTAGGGTTAGTCCACAGCCAAACTGCATTTGTCACCAAATATCCAAATATAGAAACCAAGGCGACTGTAAGCCACGAGGCTAAAATATTCATATACTACAGCTTTTCTGAGCAGTTTATATGTTTGATGTGGATAAGAATGGAGTACCTTTGATCCATATTTCCCAGCTATTCAAAGGCTTGCTACTCTGCAGTACATTGACTTCCCATACCTATTTCTACATGTTTCTTCCTAGATGTTGTTTTTTCCTCTGAGTTCTTGACATGGTGTGTCAATTCTCTTGCCTTACAAACTGTGCCTATGGCTTAGGAATTTTGCTGGTCTTTTATAAATTCAATAGGAAAAAAAACCCAAACCCCAAACAACAACAGCTTTATTCTGTGAAGCAATTACACTAAAGTGAGTATTGAAACTAATTCCTATCTTAAATGTGAGCTGTGCTACCTTGCAGGGCTTCATCTCTTCTGCTTTGTAGAAGTTTGTCAGAGTTTCTTCATAGCAATTCAGGCAGCCTTCATGAAATCCTTCTAACTCGTTTGTGTGGCCTTGGACTTCACAGAAATCTCTGTGCCTCCCTAAGGTCTGTGGTCTGTTTACATAGATATGAAGTCCTTTAACCCAGCAAGTTTTGCTGTGGGCTTGGATTTCTTGCTTACAAGCTCTGCTGGAGTCCCTCTAGTCTTCCTGCTGGCAAAATAAAGGTGTTAACTCAGTTTTTCAGAGCAATTTGTGAATGGAAGAAGATTTCATTGCTGAATTTTTTTTTCAAGCACTGCTCTGCCTATTGAATTTAAAAGAGCTTTCCCCTAAGTATTCTTACTTGTCTGTTAAGGTTTGTTTTTTTGACTGCTTTAAAGGTTTAATTGTTTTGGAGCTTGACCTCTTTTGTGCTATACAAGTCCAGAAGAACAGGAACTTTATTCATAATTAGGAAGTCCAGATAATCTTGAAGAACTTGAACAAAAAAAAAAATCTATCTGTTGGGAAATTTCTGAAGGATTGTCTTTAAGACCATGCAGGATCACAAATGCTGGTTAGCAACAATAGGTGACATTTAATGTGCTGAATCCAAGTGAACTGTTCCAGTGTTAACTTTTGATTTATATTTTCAAAGAAGCAGGGGTGTGCTTTGTGATAGCATTCTTACCTGTGGGCTGAGCTGCCCTCTGTTTCTAATCCTGTGATCACTTCCTTCAGTGCTAGAGCTGGGTTTTGAGGAGTCTTTGGTGCTCTTCTGTTTTGACTCTGCAGCACCCTGCTGTGTGTGCTGGTGCTGCTGTTTTGGAGCAGCTGGATGCTGGAACGGATCAGGGAGCTGATTTGGATTAGAAGTAGCCTGGCAAAGAAATGATGATACTTAGCCTGCATCGGTTTGCCAAACTGGTTTGCTGTTTGGCCATGGGCACATCAGACAGTGTGGTGCAGGGGTGGGAGTAAATATTGGTAGCAGCAGTTCTCTAAGCTGGCATTCCTGCCAAAAGGAATGCTCATCTAACTATACCCCTAAGAGTCTGCTAAATGTGCTAAATGTTTTTTACACCTGTTTGTTACAGCTTCCCTTGCTGGAGAACAGTTCCTCCAGCTTACCTTGCTCTTTTTGCCAAAAATCATCTCTGAACATATATGCAAGGTATCAAAAGAGTAGCTCTCTTTAAGAAGATTTAAGTAGGGCCAACAGAAGAGTGTGGTGGCTTTGCTATGGAAGAGTTTCTGCTGCCTCAAGACTTTCTGATGGTACACAACATGTACTGTAAAGTGACGATAGACTATTTAGTATGGTTGCAATTAAGCAGTGAAACTCATGCTGTGAGTATCTTGCTGAGGAGCAAGAATTCAACAAGAGTTAAAAAGCATCAGATGTCTTAAAGAATATGAAGAATATTCAATTATCGTAATCAGTGACAGTAGAAATTTTGGAAGAGGTATTAAGCCTGTGATCTAAACCTTTTTTATTCTGCTCTAGCAGTTGTTCTTCTATATTGGGGAAGGGAGGCATGGAATAGCCTGTTGTGCCTGGGTTTGCTGCAGGGTTCTCACACTCCTGTCTGGAAACTTGATTGAGAACCAGTGTATGAGATGTGTCCAGATAGGCTTCTGGGTTGGATCCTGGTGAACCACCCTGAAATCTGGTCCGAGTTACTAAACTGTGGCTATTGTGTAGTGAACTGCTGCTTCACAACTTTTAACATTTGCTTTATTCCTACTTCTGTGGGTTGTTCTTACCTATTTTTTTTTGCAGAGTTGAATCTGAGCGCTCTGGTTTTGATCTACTTTGACAACACTAATTGAATTCATTTTAAATACTGTTATGAAATTGCAGTTAACTATATCTGAAGAATGAATGTTATCTCTTTAGAGAGATCCCTTTTTTTCAGACAGACTTTAAAGCAGAAGTGGGATTTTCATTGTTTGGCCTCCAAGAAAATGCTTATGGAATAGGGGAGGGAGATGAACAGTGGAACTGTAGGGTGGTTGGCCTGTTTGTTTTTTAAAGCCTAGGCAGAATCAATGAAATCCTTTTGAAGGAAGGAAAAAGGAAAGTGCCTTTTACCACTGACATGATTTCTTTCAACAAAGAAAGATGGAGCAATGTCCTCTGAGATTTCACTGAAAATTGGGTGCTGTAGTCTTGAAAACAATGCTGGTTTTAAGTGCTCCTTAGTGGTACAGTCGATGGCATAAAGAGTGGATGACATACACAATAATTTAGCTGCATATGGAATCGAGGGAGAGCTTGCTGTTTTCTCTATTGAGTTCAGAGCAGTTGTTGTTCAGGCACAGATAGCCACACAGCTGCCTGTTCAACTCTTCAACTGGCAATTACTCTGAGCTGGGTGTCTTGTTTTCATGGCTGTTTGGCCTCTTAAGAAAGCAGTGCCACTGTGTTTTTCCTCCTTGGCTTTCTGATGGGGCTCTGTCTGCATAGTAGCAGAGCAAGAGAGCTTTTAATCACTGACTCACCTTGTCACTGGATGATCTCCATGTGCCTGTGGTTGTCCTCTCTGCCTTCTGAACAAAGGGTGCAGGTATCTGTTTTACCTTATCAGCGGGGTGGCTGGGGCCCACGGGTTCCTTTAATACCAGGGTTGCTTGGATTTGGTGGCAAACTTGGGAACAGAGCTTGGCTCTTAAGGTGCCTGTGATTTATCTACTCGACCATGTTACTTACGCTCTACAAATTGCTTTAAGTCTGTGACTGCCTGTGTATGTTGTGTCAAGCCTTCTTTGCCACCTTTGCAGTTGTGAAGACCTGAGCAAAAATTCTGGTTTAGTGGTTCACTGATAGAAACACCAGGTAAGATCAAGCAGTGCAGACCATTTTTCAGGTTGGTCAGAGCTCTGGTTTCTGCATTTTGCTAAACTGACTTCTTCAGGTGTCTTGATATCACTGTTCCACTGCCTGTGAAATGGCAATGTTTTATCTATGTACCAATCTGGATTTGTTTGAGGATTGATTAGAAATGTACATGCAGTGTAATATAAAACCAGGCTGTAGCCTGTTGAGGTGACCAGCCACAGCCTCAACAGGGACAGCTGGTGCAATGGACAGTTAAGGCAGTACTATGTACAGAGAAACTCTTTTCAAGGACTTCTGCTGGTGGAATGCAAGTTTTCTACCATATTTTATATGTATGTATGAGGAAAAAAAGTAAAAAACATCAGGTCAAAATTATTTGACAGCTTGTTAGCAAGAAAACACTTTCTTCTGCCTCTTGAAAATAATAATTTTATATATATACATATGCATATATACAAAAAAAAATATTTAACCTTCTTGTGGTTGGGGGATAGAAGGTTGAAACTGTCAGGCAAATAGCCACCATCCAGCAGAAATGCTTCTGAATGCTTTAGTGAAAGCCAGCTTTGATTTGACAGTTATGAGGCTTTGAAAATAGCGCTGTGTTTATACAGCACAGTAAATACTTTGAAGTGCGTTAGGCTGTGCTGTACATGCGTGGCTAACTAGAGGAATATTAAATGCCTACATCTTGTGTTGAGTGAGGGAGGATCCTGCAGCAATTGGAATTGCATGCTCCTCGTACTTTTATAAGATCGTGTCAAAGCAGTAGATTTGATAATAGACCTGATTATACAATTGCTTAATTTCTTGTCAAAATAACATTTTTACATGCAGCGTTCTGAGATCTTTGAGGTGACCTCATGTTATTTATCAAATGTCAGTTTTTCATCCCAGCAGCTTTGATATAATCATGTAGCATCGTGGAGTACTGTGTACATGCAGTTTTTGCTTGCTGGAGTTCTTTGAAGTGCCTTACTCCTTAGAAGAGTTATTGCTGTCTGGAAGATCCTACATTTAACGACTGGGAAACCAGTATGGAATCGCTGCACTGTGTCACTGAGGGTCATGCTGCCTCTGCTGTGCCTAGTGTGGGTCTAAAAGCAGAGAAATAAGAGGTTCAGCACACCAGGGACAAGCACACCCTGGCACACATTTTACCCAGCAGTAAGCTGCAGGGGATGTAGTAACTCTTCAGCTGTGCTCCCGTGGGAGTGCCGGGCTTGTGGCATTGAGCTCCCCAGGTGCCTGAGAACAGCAGGAGGCCTCGTGTAAAGAAGCAGAGCAGAGGGATGGCTGGTGGTGACAGTCCTGAACGAAAACTGGTCTGGCAGGCACTGCTGGAAGGTAGTGATGCTCAGGGGAGCCTTGGGAAAGTGCTCATTTGGGAAGAGAGGGACCAGAGAGCTGTAAAGGTGAAGGTTAACATGAAGGAAGGTGTATGGCTCGCCCCCAGCAATTCCGACTGGTGTCGTGTGTCATGTCCCCTTGCAGCAGACTGGGGAATTACTGCTTGCTGTAGCACTGGGGTTTTTCACAGAGGAGCTCTGTCCTGTACTGACCCATCCCAGTCCCACTTAGCTTATGAAAACTGACAAGATTGCAGCCCAAGGAGTTACGCCTGAGGATTGCTTCCTATCTTTCATTCTGGAAGCCTATTGAAGGGGGCACCAAAAGGGAAGAAAAAGCACTTGGGTTTTTTTCTGTGCTGAACTGATTGGTGACTTGTTTCTCCCAAGTCTTCTGTTAAAGCAGTGTGGTGTTAATACTTGTAGAAGAACAAACTGCTGTCTCCTTGGTCCTGTCTCCCCATCCAGTATTTCAGCATATTTTCCCCAAGCCCCTTTCAACAGATTAGTTTCTAGAGAATGAGCTGCTGGCAAACTCGATGCAGGTGTCTTTTACCTGTGGTTGTTCATGCTGATGTCCCTATTTAAATTTTTGAAAAAATAAGCCCAGAAAAGTAAGGGGAAAGAGATTGCCTGTGGCTTCTCCTAACTCCTGAAAAGTAAATGAAGTTTTGACAGAAGCCAAAGCTATGAAAGCAGGCCATGGAAAACTCTCATTACCCACTGGACTCCTGCATGCAATGCTGACTGATGCTAAGGCTATTAACTGTTAACCTGATATGGAAAGCAGCAGAAGCCTGTCATATATTAGGAAAACACTGTTAAAATGTTTCTTGAAAAATCCCCTTATTGCTCGAGATTTTGATCTTTATCGGTGTTAAGAATAGCTGGAACGTCACAGCAGCCCAGCTGGTGCTCAGGTAAGCGACGCTCCACGTAGGGAGCTCCAGACTGCACTTGTAAAGTACACAGAGTGCTCCCAGCACAGCTAACAGAGGTGGAACTGAAGTGAGGTTGGCAGCTGTGCTAGAGTGTGCCAGGGCTGAGCTGAGGTCAGCACGATGTCGTGACAGGGTGTGTGGTGGCATCCCCAGACACCCCGGCTGACCCGCACCTGCCAGTGCCACTGCTGCTGGTGAAGCTGAAATGGCAGGAACACTGAGGGGAAGTGTTCATCATGTTCCTGTACAGAAGCAGATAGTTGCAGCTTAGGCTTTGAGGGTTTTTTTTAAAGGAATTTTTCTCTTGGCTTTTTCCCCAGACTGATTGCTGGAACCGTGTCAGAATCTGCCAAGAGCTTGTTCCAGTCCCAAGTGAACCAAGTAGTTCAAGTGTTTTTTACATAATGGCAGATAGGAAATTGAAAAGCTCTCAGTGTTTGTCTTTGTACACCTTGAGTTTGATCACCAGCGTCCATAAGTGTCTGTCTCCTCCACTACTTTAGGGAAGGAGTTGTACAGAGTCAGAAGTTGTCTAGGACAGCCATGCATCCCCACTGGATTAATAATGCACTGAAGTGTTGTTAAATACATAGAAAATAACGTTTAGTGGACATATAGTTGTCTGTTTGACAAGAAATGTTAGTGTTATTCACAACTGAAAAGTTATGCTTGTAAGAGTTGCAGGAAACATGTCTGTTGCAAAAGACTATTTTAGAATGATTTTTTAAAGTACCTAAAAAAGCTGATTACTTATGCAGCCTTTATATCATGGCTACTGTTGATTATCCATGTACTTGTTAGAAGGAAGAGAATAGTTGCTAGATTTTCTCAGAAAAAAGGGAGAGGACACTTAATTCTCTGAGCCTTTGGGTTTGTATTGTGCTTTGTCAGTGATTGTCTTCACTGTCCATTTTAAGGATGTAGAGCAAAAGGTTGAATTTTCTGTGGCCTTTGTTGTGTTGAATGGACTTCAGGAAAGATCTGTTCTTTGGGAAAGGTCCATGTGTGTGGTGATAGGGGCTGGGGGGGAGGTATGGGAGGAAGAGTGTCTGTACAGACAGTCTCTTATTTGAGAGATGTTGTGGATGGGCAGGCACAGGTAGGCTCAGCAGAGCTGCATTGTGTGACCACACTGTACTGCATTTCCATGGGCCTGATTAAATATTCTCACAGTTTCTCGGAGGCTTATCCTGTGGTCCTAAATTCTTACATTAAATGGAGCAACCCAAGGGAACTTCTCTCCATGTAATGGCATAGAATCTTGTGTGCCCTTCCCCTGTCTGTGTCTATTGCTCTTCAAGGAGCTAATTTTAGGCGAATCTGTCTTGCTCAGCCCCTTTCTCTCTGCTTCAGGGCTGGGGATAGTAATGGGCAATAACCTACTCATTTGGAGTTTAACAGAGAGATGCTTACACACCACATGTGCAGGAGAAGGTATTTTCCCTGTGGAGGTTGCAATGCTGCCTGGTGGAGATTGTGTAGCCTCCACATTCATGTCACCTAAACTTATTTTGCTACAAGTTCTTGATTCTTCTGTTTACTGAGAGTAATTTCTGGTATAAAACTGGGAGCAGAGAGATAATGCTGTGTTGACTTTGGAATAGCAGTGATTTCTCTGATGTGGTAAGATGGAATTCTCTGGGAGACTGTGAAAACTTTGCATATAATTTTTTATTGTTATGGCATAAACATAGGAAAGTCCAAACTGTTTCAGGGTAAGTTAGGACCATCTAGAAACTGATGACTGGCTGTGAGTTGCTATCTAATCACCTTAGATGAACAACTTACCTCTACCTATCTTTAGGTATCCAAGTTACCTATCTGAAGGTACCTGAGGTATTTTCTGTCCTTGTTTAAGAAAAAGGGTAGTGGGACCTGGCAGAAGATGGGCACAAATGTATTTCAATAAGCATAAGCCTGTCCATGCCTTTGCCATCAGTCAGTGCTGCCTCCTTTGTGCCAGTGAGCACATGAACACCTAGCGGGATGAAACAGGAAAATTGTCTCCTGAATATTATTCATATCTTATCTGGAGTTTGTTTTCAGCTGTATCACAAGTGCTGGAAGGGATAGAGTTGGATAGGTTTAGGCTGGTTGAAGTTGCTTTCCTGGGTCCAGAACAGAGCTGGTAAGCAGAAGGTAAGGTTGCATTTTTGACAGACCTATTTGAATGGTGATGGGGTCAATCCTAGTAGTGTGACAGGCATGTGCTTTATCCTGGGAAAGGATGAGGAGGACAGCTTTTGCTAGGAGGCAGAGGCAGATCTAAGGGTGTATTTACTAGCCCTTGGTAGAGAGCCCTATCTAGAAATTTGGACTGCTTCATGGGATCAAAGAGTCTTGTGTCCCTGTATCCTCAAGTGTCATAGGGAGATGTATGGGATGTAGAATATTCGTGTCATTTTATCTATTTGCTTTTACATGATCGTAAGGACGTCTGACAGCTCAATAAAAGCTTTGAATAACATGCCCTGTGTCCTCCTTGTTTCCCAGTTGCTCTCCTTATCAATGAGGTGTGTAACCAAGTACTTTATTAAACAGCAGCTTATTAAAAAGTAACGTGCAGCTTAGCTGCAAGTGTGTAAAATAAGCAAATGCTCAACAAAACTGGTAAGCGCAGCATGTGATGAAAACCAGTATTTTCCAGTTTTCCAACCAGTTCTTGGGTGTAGTGGAGTCACCTTTTGCCAGTGCAGCTATTCTCCCTCTCATGTGGTTGAATGAGGGTCGGAGAAATTGGAGGTGCCCTTCCCAGTAAAAATGTGCTGAAGGAGCGCGTTGGCTGATTCACTCACTGCCTTGCCCCACCTCTCAGGTCACACAGGGAATCCACTGGTGGATGCACTTACAGAAGTTTGCTTCCTGGTGGCTGTCAGGATCAGCGGTTGCTCAAATACCTCCTGCTGCTGCTATTCTTGGTTGCCCTAAAGCTTCTGTTCCTCCCTGAGCAATCTCTTATTCCACTCTCTTTCCTTCCTTACCCTCTTTACTGTCACAGATACAATTCAGGGTGCAGGCTCAGCTTGCATTCAAAGTTATCATTTGTTTTCTGCAGCAGCAGGTCTCCATCCTTTTTTCTTTCTCCATGCTGATTTTGAGCTCTCGCCACCCTCAGCCCAGCACAGACTGACAGTCTCAGAAAGGCCATGGGGAAAATAGCAGTGTGCTCTTTCTTGTATGCAGAGAAAGGTTTCTTGCCTTTAATGCTTCATGTCACAGTCAGGCCACAAGTCTGATACTTTTATCTACTTGGTATGCCTTTATTTCATCTCTCCACATTCTCCTTCTCAAAGAGGGAGAAAAGACTGAAGTGAATCAGTGATAACTGCAGCTGTTCCTGCTGGAATAGCCATAAAGCTGTACACCTCCATGTACTTGACCATTTGTCATGATCAAGCTTTTCAGCTTAAGGCCATAAAATAAGAATTTGCTGGTTTGAATTTTTTTTTAAACTTTCTATTTACAGTACAGTAATATGGTAGCTGGTTTGTAGAAGTACAGGGGGTCAAAATAGTTAACTGAAAGGTAAACTAAGATGTGTCTTTGCATCTTGTTAGTTGATCTGTGGTAGCTGTTTTTGTATGCTCTCAGCCTTTTGCTCTTAAATTCACTGTGGAGCAAACTGCCTTGTGCTGACAGGCCTAAGACCGTGCAGGTGAGCAGCAGTGATGGTACCCTAGGGAATGGAATTGCAGTGCAGTAACTGGGTGTCCTAAAGGATGGATGATGCCCCCCTTGCAGTCCTGAGCTATGGTCTGCAAGGATGTCCTTCCCTGCAAAGCTCAGATTGAATGTTTCAAGGAATAGAGCTCTGAGCAATGTTTGCGATAGGTTCTCTCCATCCTTATGTGTGCTGGTGTTCACACACCTTTCTCTTGAAGGGAAAAAGTGATTTCTGTCCCTGCTTTGGTAGAGGTGTGTCAGTACTGGCACTGGCATGGCTTAGCCTGTATTGTTTCATTGGGTGGGGTGGGGGAAAGGGGAGAGGAGATATAACTGGGTAATTGGATTCAGGGATGATTGTGCTGCTGTGGTGAGTTTTACTGGATAAAGCAGCTTGTTGCGATAGGTGTTTGTTTCAGCTTCTGTCTGCAGGTGTGACTTGGCTAGATAAGGATGGTCTATCATGTTGATGATTTCATTGTTTGATTTGGCTGGTCTGGGTGGAGAATGTAGCTGTATTGTTTGGGACTAGCTTTGTAGTTTGGTTTTGTGAAGTGGATTACACGGCAGCACATTGCTACATTATTAAGGTGAAGCTGCAGTAGATAATAGTTGTAGGATGTTGGAGGGAAGAGAATATGCACAGGCTTTCACAATGCGTTTTTTTTTGAGCTAACTAATTGAGCCTCCAGCTCCCCTGTTTCTGCTGGGAGATCTGGTCAGCAGAATGCATTGGGATTACACAGAAAAATTTTGGTAGTGGTTTCACTTTGCAATTGTACTTTAACTGCAAGGCTGTCCATGCTGTGTAAATAGCTGAGAGTGCTCTGAGATACCACGCTGGCCCTGCCAGTGTGAGTGTTGTCTGGATTCATACTGTTCTTGCAGCCTCTACAGTTTTCACAGTGGGTGAGGGAGAAGCTGGCAGGTCACTGCTCTTTTTTTACTAACCTCAAATTTACCAGTAAACTGTTCTTCAGAGCCTGCATTTCCTTATATTGCTGAACTTTCAGGCACTTAAATTTGCTTTGGATTCCCTTCTTCCTGTAGGGTATGCAATGATGTGAAGTTGGAGCTGCCAGAGCAGTAGATAGTGCTTCCTCCTTCTAAAACCTTCCTGGTTTTCCCCTAGATATGATTGCCTGGCTTTACCTGATACTTGATGTTTCTGTTTATACAATGTCTGGCTGTGGAGGAGGTTGCATATATGAAGCACAAGGGTTTGGCAGGAGCTGCTGGGCACATTGTAAGGGGTTGGTGAGCCTTTGAAGAGAGGTGGGTGCAGAGAAGGGAAGGTGACATGTCCAAGTTTTGTGCCAGCTTCTCTAAGCACACATGAGCTCATGGGAATACAGCTGGCTAAACATGGGAATGCTACAGCAGGTCTGCCCTATTTCCCCTCTGTGGCCAGTGTGGATCTTCTGAGTCTTCCAGTCCGATGGTGGCTTCTTGTGTGCTGATAAATCTGAGCAGAGGCTTCGTGGTTCAGAGCAACTTTTGATTTCTCTGCTTCTGTGGTTGAATGCATGGAAGGGGGTGCACAGCTTGGCTGTGAGTTTTTGTTGGTGAAACTTGTCTTCTTTTTCCAGGTGACTGTTTTTTGTGAGACGAGTGGTTTGCAACTCATGGCCTCCACGATGAGTACTGCAGTGTCGTGACACCAGGGGTCTTGGTAAGCTTCTTGTTGGAAAAACAAGGACCTATAATATCTCCACGAATGCAGATCTATCTCTTTTGTCTCTGCAGTTAAAGTTTGAATTAATTTAAACCATCCAAATTGTAGGCTGCAAGCAAGTGGGGTGGGGCTACGTTTTCACCTGTTCTCACCTCCTCTTCTGAGCTTGTAATGGTAGTGATGTGGTTACATGATGAACCAGGTCAGGGGGCAAATCCAGCTGAATAGAAATTTCTGTTGTTTCCCTTGGGTTAGTTCCCATTCAGATCTTTCCCTGATGTGGTCAGGAGAGGTGGTGAGAATGAGTAGCCTGTCGAACCATCCCTTTTCTCTGCAACCTTTGCCTGCCATACCTTAAAGCCATCCTGAAAATACTGCCTTGGATGTAGCTTTCCAAAATGTCTTTTAAAGTGTTTTGACCATTCACTGTCACTGACCCTGCCTCTAATTTCGAAGCAATGATATAGGCTTTGCTATGGTAGTCAGATTCCAGCTGCAAAAATACATTTCTCTAGAGTTTTTCCATTATTGAACCCTAGATTCCCAGGCATATATATGTTAGAAGTGCATTGAGAAAAATCATGAGACATTCCATTTCACATTATAAAAGATGGTACATTCCCCTGTGCAGAAATAAGAAGCTGAGGAAGTTGACTTGCTGTTGTTCCTCCCATGAATATAGTGATGTATCCTTTATAGCTCTCTCTGGTAAGAATAAATTTAAACTGAGATTGGAAAACACAGTTCCCTTGCACAGCGCATCAGTTCCAATATATGGAAGATGTGTGTATATACAATAATAAAAAAGTAAGGTTAAAAAATTGGAGGGTTCTCCTCCCACCCCTGGGTGAAGTACTTGAGAGTTTGGTGATGTCAGGAATACCATGTAGTCAGTGATTGTGATTCTTCATGTTTTCTCATTGCACTGTGCAAGACTGGGACTCTTGACAATTCTCATCTTGTAATAAAAGGTAACATAACGTATAAATGTCCAAATGGAAAAGCAGAGGATTAAACAACCAGAATACTTAAGTTCATTATGCAGGCATCTACTGTAAGCATCAAGCCCTGCTCACTTTTATGCTGTTATTCCTTTTCTCTATCTCTTTTACTTTTTTTAAGCCTGGAATTCACTGTGTTTGCAGTCACATCTTCACCTTAAGTGAGGGTGCTGCAGCTTCACAGAGTTCCACTGACTTTTACAGATGTACCAATCTCTTGAAAAGCAGTTAGGGTGCTGTTGATAATGTTACAGTTTTGTTTAACAAAACAGACACAGGAGCCAAATTTGCATGAAAAGATGATACAGTTTAGCTGTGTGGGAAGAGGTGCTCCCTCCTCTTTAATGTATCTGCACAGAACCAGCTGTAATTGCAACATGATAGTAGGAACAATAGTGACAGGATAACTCCAACATTGTTCCCAAAATCAGTGGGATAACAAACTTATAGCCCCAGAGAGGCATGTGGGCCCTCTGGAGTGTGGCTCAGAGTAGAGTTCATCTGATTGTGCCTGATATGAGGCCTTTAAAATGAGACATTTGCTGCAGAAACATTCCCCACATTAATAGGTTTGTGCAGCACAGTGGAGATGAGAATAGGGAGTAGGATGACTTCTCTGGCTCACGAAGGAGACTTGTGGTAGAGAGGAGAATTTTTGGAGGTGATGCAGAACTTCACACAACTGCTGCAGTGTGGATCACTATCATATTAAAGTAGGGCAGCTCAAAGCCACTAAAATGTGTAACAGCGTGACAACTGTACAGATTTAGGGAACTGGAAAACCGTGGTGCTCAATACTATGAGTTGCTGATAACTACTTGGCCAGAGGTGGTCGTAGAGTGCCCATGTCTTTTAATCCTCTGGTGTCATCAGCACATAAGCCAATTTGTTGTTTTGAAATGCAGTTTGAACTGTAGTTTCTTCATAAAATTCAAGACACTTCCATCCTAGTAAGATTTATTTTGCTTCATTTTGTATATATAGGAAGAAACAACTTCTTTGGTGCTGAGAAAGAATATCGGGAGTATTTACATTTGAATAATATTTAACTAGCAATGCTTAATACATTAACAATAAATCTTGGTTAGATTCTAAATTAAGTGGATTTGCATCTGAGTAGGTGAGATGAACAGGAGAGATTTTGTTGAAACATAAACAAGACAGAAATTTGTTCCAAAATAATTTAGCCCAAAGCACGTAAACAGTAATGTTCAATAGTTTCCACCTCCAGAAACAGCTTTATGTGCCTTATTGCCTGCATCATGCATATTGTTTCTTAGAAAGAAGCTGAAAAAGCAGCTGCCTTTTTTTTTAAAAAAAACAAACTTCAATAATCTGTAGAGTGTTGCTGAGCAAATTTAGATGGGTACTACTCCAGTGGTGTTTTGGCCATTTTAATAGATATGATGACTAACCCCTCATGTTTTCAGAGTAATCACACAGAGCAGTAACTCACAGGTGGTCAGGAAGGCATTTTGTTTTATTTTTCTCCCTTTGTGTAACCCTTAGCACACATCATTGAACACATGTCTAGGTATATTGGACCAAAGAGACCAAAGATTTAAGCAGTTTATGTTCTTAAGAAATATCAGGTTATGGCCATTCCTAGGGGAATTTTGGATAGCTAGGTCATGTTGGGGATTTGTACCTTTGGCTTCCTACTGACTTGCTGTGAAGTGTCTTTAAGTTGAGCATGGATGCAAAATCAAATACAGAATTCAGATTCAGAATTCAGATACAAGGTGCTTCCCTGTTTTGTTGACTCCAGAATGATTTGATTTGGACAAAGGGAAGATGGCTTTACTGCCTGTAAAATGAATGGCCAGCCAGGTCTGCCTCTTGTCTAAAATACACATCTGTCTGAAAGCTCTTCTGTGTCTTCTTGGGAATGGGGGAAGAATTGTCATGCATTGCTTCACACCAGACATATCTCCTTGGGAAGTTCCTCATTGGTTTTCTGTTCTGTGCTTGTGGGGTGGTTTGCAGTGTGCCCTGGAGATGCGAGACTTCCCCTGGGCAGCAGGAGGCACGCATCTAGAGAATGCTGGAGCTGCAGGAGGGAAGTGCCCAGTGCAAAAGCAGCGAGGAGCAAAGAGAAAAAAGGCAAGCAGGCAGCCAGCGCTGAGAGAAGCGGGTGGCAGAAAGTGCTTCGACGCTGCCTCTGGCGGCACGCTCCCCAGAGGAACTTGACGAGAGCCCATCTGCGTGTGTGTGAGACTGTGAGCTCAGGATTTCTGTCAATGCATTCCAGTAACCCCAAAGTGAGGAACTCCCCGTCAGGCAACACACAGAGGTAAGGAGAAGAGCCTGCAATCAGTTGCCGTGGGTTAGTGCACGTTGCCATCCCTGCTCTGCTGCTGGATTAGCCCAAGGACTGGGGCAATGTGGCTTCCTGGTCCATCTGTGCTCCCATCAGACCTGCTGAGTACCTGAGCAGTGGCTGCACAGCGCTGGTGGTCTCCGTGTTTGCAAGGCTCAGGATGAGCTGAAAGCTGTAAATCCGTGAGGCATGGATTCTCCATTCCTTGTGCTCTCCTCCCTTCCACCAGGTGCCTGGATAGGCTGTAGGAGAGTAAACCTGCCGTTTCTATCTTGTTTTTTTTTTTTCTCTCTTCTCCTCTTCTAATTATCTATTTCCCAAGGGGTAGTTGGGAAGCAGAAGGTCTCTCTGTCTGTACTTTCACACAAAATGCTTTCTCCATATTACTGGCTTGAACAGCCTGAAGAACTGATCAGCTGAGCACTAAGATCCTCTGCATCAGTCACCTGCCAGTGCAGCAGGTCAGCATTTCTTCTCCACTAATTTGGAAAGGGAAAAATATGAAAGCAAAGCAGTGTCCAGGGACTTATGATGGTTCTGATTGACAGCATTCTTGAGTTTGATTATTTACTCCTAGAGGTCACCTGGAGCTTAACAGTATTTCAGAGCGAATGCTTCTGAGTCAGATGTCTGTCCAAAGGAAGGAACAGCTTGTGTGAATCCCACAGTGAGGATGCTAGCAAGCACTGCCTGTTGGAAGTGATAGTGGTGATGGGAAAACACAGTGCAGAAGATCTGATAGCAATGGAGTAAGTGAAGGGTGAGGAGGGAAGGGGTGCCTATTATCTGTAGAACCCAGAGGAGCAAAATATTTTTAGGATGCAATTTTCTGGATGGAGGAGGAATGAAAATCCTGAGACTCCTTTGTCAAAATGAGGAGGATTCATCTGCCCCATTTTGCAGGAGTGTGCTTGGAGATGGTATCCTTCTCTTTCCTTATTCAGGGGCAGGTTGTAGCTGGTTTAATTGTTTTCACGGTCAGAGGTTTGTGTTTCTCTGGCAGCTCGCCCCAGTGTATGACGAATGCTGCAGTAATGCTGGGTTTTCCTTGTGCTCCCTGTAGAACTGGATGGGGAGGTGGAAGGAGGGGTGGGGGGGTGTCTGCTCTGATCAGAGCTGCAGCGTAGTAGGGGTCCAGGAGAATGGTGAGGGGAACTTTATTGTTTGTTTACTCTGAGCTGGTCTTGGTGTGAGGTGCTTCTCTGTGCACATAGAAACCGTTGTCTTTATTGACAGAAGCACCAGAGGTGGGTCCTCATGTGACAGCAGTTTCTGGGATCTGGCAGGTCTGTGGTTTGCCCTGGTGCCTTCTTGAGCAATGAGATCCCATCTTGGATAATAACCCTTTCAGGGCATGTTCAAAAAATCACCTGCATGACTCTAAGCTTGCAGGCATTTTTTATTTGTCAGCAATTGTCTTAGCTTGTAAAGGTGACAGTGGTTGTTTCTGCTTCACTCTAATCTGTTCCTACAGGGCTGAATGAATCAATGGTGTGATTTGTCACTTTTTCCTTTTCTTTCTTTTTTTTTTATCTCTCTCCTCAGTAGCCCCAAATCAAAGCAGGAGGTGATGGTCCGTCCCCCTACAGTGATGTCCCCGTCTGGCAACCCTCAGCTGGATTCCAAATTTTCCAACCAAGGCAAACAAGGGGGCTCCACCAGCCAATCCCAGCCCTCTCCCTGTGACCCCAAAAGTGGAGGTCACACCCCCAAAGTGCTCCCGGGCCCGGGTGGGAATATGGGGCTGAAGAATGGGGCTGGAAATGGTGCCAAGGGGAAGGGGAAGAGAGAGAGGAGCATTTCGGCAGACTCCTTTGAACAGAGGGAAGCTGGGACTCCTAATGATGACCCGGAAATCAAAGGTATGTTTGCTAGGGTTCATGTGCAAGGGCAGACAATCAGTCTGAATCCTCTGTGAGATGGAGAATTGCTATGCAAGTATTAGTGAAACATTTGTTTGTTTGGGGTTCTGTAAGTTCCAGCCAATGAAGTCTAAAGGTCTCGAGAGCAGGTGAAGAGGAGAGGTTGTCATAGCTGGCCTTGGTAAATGTCTTGTTCACGCTCAGTTAGAGCCCAGACCTGGTGGGAAAGTTCCTTTGTAACTCTTAAACTCCCCCAGAGGATTTAAAAGTACAAATGCAACCTGTTGGTCTGCTTTTGGCCTTTGGCCTTTCAGGAACTGTTCTGTTGTAACTGGGGTTTTAAACAATATACAGGTCTGTTTTGTCAACACAGATATATAACCTGTAGCACCTTGACTGGTAACACAAGCCAGAGAGTTGGGATTTCTGTGTTCTCTTCCTGGCTCCACCATTGCCTCTGTGAGGCAATGCCAAACCAGACTGCATATTCAGCTGTCCATCTTTGTTGACCATTTGCTAGGTCACCTAGCTAAGGTGGCTGAGCACAAAAAAAAAAGTAGCAGGAGTGTTTTCTTGAGGCAGACATAACCTACCTGAAGGTGTAGTTTTCCTGCTTTTCTATGTGGTCATTAGAGAATTCAAAGAGATGAGTTGTGAGAACTTTCACTTTCCTTGAAAAGGGACACAAGAGGATCTTTCTCCCAGGGTTGCTTGAAGGACACCAGGGCTTTAGAGGAAAGATGTGTGGTGTAATAGAAGAATTGCCTTTAGTGGTGCTTGAGGAAGAAACAGGAAATTTCAGAGGAGAAAAAGCTCTGATCAGTTTCCAGAATTGATTTCCAAAGAGATCCCAAGATAGTGATTCCCTCCTTTTCCCCTTTGTCCCTTTCCAGACTGCAATTCTGCTGATCATGTGAAGTCCCAGGAGTCTCAGCACACACCACACTCCATGACTCCTTCAAATGCTTCAGCCCCAAGGTCTTCCACACCTTCCCATGGTCTGACTGCCACTTTGGAGCCAGCAAGCGGGCAGAAGACTCCATCCAAAGTGGTTTACGTCTTTTCTACTGAGATGGCCAACAAGTAAGTAGGTAGATGCTTGAATGTCTTCTGGGAGCAGGAATTATATTTGTGCTCATCTTTTAAGAGATTATCAAGGGCATTTTCTGCATCAAGTAGCAAAAAGTCATTACTTCTTTTGGGGAAGCTGAAGGGGTTGGAGTGGACAATGTACCTACCTTTTCCTCTCTGAGAAGTAATTGAAGTAATTGTTTACTCCTCTGCGGTATGGGGATTTTTTTTTTATTTTTAAATTTTTTTATTTTTTTTTTTTTGCAAATGCTGGTTGATGTTGTTTTGCAATCCATGTAATGAATAGGAGCCAGGATAGCTTAAACTGAGACATGAACCTTGAATGCTGATGAGTTTGTAGATGTAATAATTATTCTTTTCGTACTCAACTAGAGTGAATATGTGTGGTTAAGTCTTTCTCCCTTTTGCCAGCTGAAAGATGGAAAGGAGGTCAGTTAAGAAAAACTGATTCTTAGCTTCAACTGGATATGTGCATCTACCTGTCTGTCTTTGCAGGGCTGCAGAAGCTGTGCTGAAGGGACAGGTGGAAACAATTGTGTCCTTTCATATCCAGAACATCTCAAACAGCAAGGCGGAACGAAACACTGTACCCTTGGTAGGGAATGCCTGCATGGGGGCGAGAAGGGGAAATCGTAAATGTGCCTGTGTGTGATGCAGAGAGATGGATGATTAGTTGCACTCTGAAACAAGTTTTAGGTTGTTGTTCAGTTGTTGTTCAGACTGCCTGAAATATCTTCTTCTTCCAAAGAAGAGTCTTGCAATATTTGGGTAGTATATTTCCAAGCCATTGGTCATGCAGAGGGGTCACAGATGAAAGGGGTCCCTGCAGTAATGCCTTGAGCAGAGCAGGTTTCTGCATTGCCAAGAGGCTGCTATGTAATGGCTGCATGAAGGCTACCCTTCCCTGCAAATTTTGGGCTGGTGGGATTGAGATCGAGTGTTTTTTTGCACTGCTGTTTAGGTGACATGGCTTTAAGAAGAGCAAGTGACTGAGTGTGGCTTTCTCTTGCAGAACCCCCAGATCACTGCACTTCGGACTGAACCCAAGCCCCTACCACAGCCCCAGCCCCCTGCTGCCCAGGACCAGAACCCTCCCCAGAACGCCAAAATGCAGCCGACTCCACCTGTGTCAGCACCAGTATCCAAACCCACTGGCCCTCCATGTCCCATAGATCAGGACAGTCCCAGTGTGGAAAGCAAAGTGATGTCTGTGGGCAGCCCTGCCAACTCTACCCCGTTGCAGACAGAAGGATTTGGGCAGAGTTCAACCCCCAATAATCGAGCAGTTAGCCCAGTTTCCCAAGGTAGCAATAGCTCTGCTGCAGACCCCAAAGGTCCTCCCCAGCAGGGGTCTGGTGGGGACCCATCCAGTTTGGGTGAGAATCCCGACGGACTGTCACAGGAGCAGCTGGAGCACCGAGAGCGCTCGTTGCAGACCCTGAGAGACATCCAGCGCATGCTCTTCCCTGATGAGAAGGAGTTTGCAGGAGGGCAAAGTGGGGGGCCACCCCCAAATGCTGGAGTGCTGGATGGTCCCCAAAAGAAACCCGAAGGGCCGATACAGGCTATGATGGCTCAATCCCAAAGTTTAGGCAAAGGGTCGGGGTCTCGGACAGATGGAGGGGCTCCGTTTGGCCCTCAAGGACACAGGGACATGCCTTTTTCCCCAGATGAAATGGGACCACCACCAATGAACTCCCAGTCAGGAGCCATAGGCCCAGACCACCTGGACCATATGACTCCTGAGCAGGTGGCCTGGCTTAAGCTGCAGCAGGAGTTTTATGAGGAGAAGAGAAGGAAGCAAGAGCAGGTGGTTGTGCAGCAGTGTTCCCTGCAGGACATGATGGTCCACCAGCACGGACCTCGTGGGGTGGTCCGAGGTCCTCCCCCTCCCTACCAGATGACCCCTGGTGAGGGCTGGGGACCTGGGGGTCCAGAGCCCTTCCCTGAAGGCATGAACATGGCACATTCTCTGCCCCCCAGGGGCATGGCCCCTCATCCCAACATGCCTGGGAGCCAGATGCGCCTGCCTGGTTTTGCAGGAATGATGAACCCTGACATGGAAGGCCCCAACGTCCCGAATCCCGCCTCACGGCCTGGGCTTTCAGGAGTTAATTGGCCAGATGATGTGCCAAAAATCCCAGATGGCCGAAACTTCCCTCCTGGTCAGGGTGTCTTCAGCGGCCCTGGCCGAGGGGAGCGATTCCCCAATCCGCAGGGCCTGCCTGAAGAGCTCTATCAGCAGCAGCTGGCTGAGAAACAGATGGGCCTCCCTCCTGGTCTGAACATGGAAGGCATCAGGCCCGGCATGGAGATCAACAGAATGATGCCCTCCCAGAGACACATGGAGCCTGGGAACAACCCCATCTTCCCTCGCATGCCGGTAGAAGGACCGATGAGCCCCTCTAGGGGGGACTTTCCAAAAGGAATACCCCCACAAATGGCTTCTAGCAGGGAGCTGGAGTTTGGGATGGGCCCTGGCAGCATGAAGGGGGACATGGGCATGAATGTCAGCATGGGCTCTAACCCACCCCTGGTCCCTCAGAAGCTGAGGGAGGCAGGAGTTGGGCCGGAAGAGATGATGAAGCTGCGCCCTGGTGTCTCGGAGATGCTCTCCTCTCAGCAGAAAATGGTGCCGCTGCCGTTTGGGGAGCACCCGCAACAGGAGTATGGCATGGGTCCCAGGCCTTTCCTTCCCATGTCTCAGGGCCCAGGAGTTGGTCTCCGGAATCTCAGAGAACAGATTGGGCCTGACCAAAGGACTAACAACCGGCTCAGCCACATGCCGCCACTACCTCTCAATCCCACCAGTAACCCGAATAGCCTCAACACTGCTCCCCCTGCGCAGCGCAGCCTCGGCCGCAAGCCCTTGGATATCTCCGCAGCTGGTCAGGTGCATTCGCCAGGAATCAACCCTCTGAAGTCCCCCACGATGCGCCAGGTCCAGTCTCCCATGATGGGGTCTCCCTCGGGGAACCTCAAGTCCCCTCAGACACCCTCCCAGCTGGCAGGAATGCTCGCGGGCCCCACTGCCGCAGCTGCTGCTGCCTCCATTAAATCCCCCCCTGTCTTGGGGTCTGCTGCTGCTTCTCCTGTCCACCTCAAGTCTCCGTCTCTCCCTGCACCTTCTCCTGGATGGACTTCATCTCCGAAGCCTCCTTTGCAGAGCCCTGGGATTCCCCCGAACCACAAGGCGTCTCTAACCATGTCTTCTCCGGCCATGCTGGGGAACGTGGAGTCGGGTGAGTGCCACCTCCGCTAGCCGGATTTGGTGCTTTGGTTTGTGTCGGGTCATCCAAAATGTGCAGCAAAGGGAGGAAGGAGGGCTCCTGCAGCAGGACGAGAGCTGGATGGCCCTTTCCCTATTTGAGGGGGACTGTGTTGCCATGCAAATGAAGGGTGAGGGCTTCTCCTCCTCCTCCTGTTATATTTGTGGGTTTGCACCCTGTTTCCCGTGTGTCGAGCTCAGAGCTGGTCATGGTCACTGAGGACATAAAAGCAAAAGGATGGGGTTGAGAGGTGTGAAAAGATGTGGAGGATCAATGAGAGAAGCCTCTCCTTGAAGGGGTCTTTTGCTGTTCTTTCATAGCTCAGTCACTGTAGCTCAACGGAGAAGATCCCGTTGATGTTATTAAAGCACTTTAGTATGGAAGGTTCCTACAAAGACATGCTGAGCAGTTAACCTGCTGGGTATCTAGGCATGGGTCAGGAATGGTTGGTCTTTTCTAGGTGTACACTGAAGACAGGAAGTTGTGATGCGGTTGTTCGGGTATGGGCGATTGAGAGACGGGGACATCTGAGTCGAGATCAGAAGCCTCTCCCACAGTTTCTGCTCAATCAGGCCTAAGATATTAACCTCCTTTATCAGTTCTATTGTACTCTCTGTTTTATTCCCCGTATCAGGCTTCAAGCATTTTGGAGTGATCTAACCACCACTGTGAATAACATTAGGTTGTGTGCTGAGCCGTGCTGTGCCTGGGACATCGGGGTGCAGGTGCTGGCACATCTCTGCCCTCACCTTCTCAAAGCTCACCCACCCTTCGGTCCAGGCCTCCACAGCCCTGGGCCGCCTTCCCACCCAGGAGATTCTCCCGGCTGGGAAAGAGGAGCCCTTTGCCCACGTTGCCCTCTAGTGCTGCCGCGGGTAACAACCGGGACCGGCACTGGGACGTGCTTGTGGGGCCGGTGGCTCAGGAAAGGCACCTAAGTGCTTCAGTCTGTGCCTTACCTAGTGCTTAATGAATGACATGCAGCTCTTCCAAAGCATGGATCTTTCAGCATTGCAGTTTTTTATATTCCCTATTCTGCTTTCCTCTTTTGGTTGGGAGGGGCTGAGGAACGTGCAGTGAATTTTCAGTGAGAGTACAGCTTCAGTTTAGCATCTTTCCTTCACATTGGTCTGGATGGCATAAAATTTATCAGTGAGAAACAAAGGAGATTGGAAGTGCAGTTAAGTTACTTCTAATTTTGTGAGAGCAAAGGATGACATTAACCTAACAGTTGCAGAGAATGTTTCTTTCGCTGGAATAAGCAGCTAATATCTCTATATGAAACAAGAAATGCAACGTAAACAGGGAGTTTTACTTGTAGCTCCTGATGTAGCTTGTCAGAAATGTGTTCACATGTCTCAGCATAATATCTGCTACAGCTTTCCTTGTGCTGCCTGTGTCTTTTTTGATTATAGATTTTGATTTTGATGGCTAGCTCTGGAACCTAAGTCTGTCTTCAGTGTATGGAAATTGAATAGTAAGATTTTTCAGACTAAACTGGTAATTTTTCACGTGGATTTGTGTAGGCTCAAAATAGTTCTACTTAGAAATGTTATGCAGTAGGATAACAGATGTTAATCAATTTGACCAATAGGCTTATTTTTCTGGTTACCTTTCATAGTCATTGTCTGCATCAGTCATGTAAAGTCTCGCAATAATTTCTAGTTTTTGAGATTTCTAGGGGAAGAGAGTTTGATTTAAGGAAAACGGTAAGGAGAAAAAATTAAATTCTTTCTCGCTCTCTGTTTGTTTTTTTTTTTTTTGTTTTTTTTTTTTGGGTTTTTTTTTTTTTCTCCTAAGGTGGTCCACCTCCTTCCACAGTCAGCCAGTCTGCTCCTGTGACTCTCCCTGGAAATCTTCCCTCTAGCAGTCCTTACACAATGCCTCCAGAGCCAACCCTCTCCCAGAATCCCCTCTCCATTATGATGTCCAGGATGTCCAAATTTGCCATGCCCAGCTCAACACCGCTCTATCACGATGCCATCAAAACTGTGGCCAGCTCAGATGACGACTCCCCTCCAGCACGCTCCCCAAACTTGCCACCTATGAACAGCGTACCAGGTAAGAAAATCAAAGGAACATTAGCACAAGGTATCAGGGTGATTTTAGGGAAGCCTCGTCAAATGAAAACAGTGAGATGGGAAGAAACTTGAGGAATATGTAGCCATGGGTCATTTTTGAGAAAGCATTTGCAATTCTCTGAAATGTATAGCTGGAAATTCTCCTTGCAACTGTTTTTTTCTGTCCAGAAAGTGTGCATTCTTCAGAAGGTGTTTAGCATGGAAAACACTTGTGTATGGGGGAGATTTTCCCCTCAGGCAGATGGGAATTACTTGTGTGAATGAAGGCTGCTCATGGGATTAAGGGTCAGACCTACAATGTGTTATCCAGAAGAAACTTTACCTCTCCTGTCTTAAGGCAGTGCCATAGAAACTTCACAGTTTTTTAAGGGGGGTTGTTTGGATTTTTTTTGACACTGAATCATCAAAAATACAAAAGTAGGCTGTAGCACCTCCATCCTATTAATTAATAGTTGAAAAAGGGGATGAGTGGATGTTTCAAGAGTGGCAATTGGTAATGAATTCTTGATGAGTTTACCTGTAGCTTTGCAGTGTGTTTCACACAGTGATGATCAGAGTGGCTGAATATATCTGGGGGAAGCTGGCTAATTGAATAAGTTCATGATGGTAACTCATTAACCTCATTGATCATTGCCTCTTAGCCTTACAAGGGTTACCTGATTTATCACTGCTGAGTTTTGAAAGGTGTTCCGGCCACTTCCCAGTGGACAAGTGTCCATATGCTGATAATCTGTCACAGACATGTTTGTTACTGCCTGTGTCATCCAGACTGCCAGGGAGGTGGTGAAAGTATGGTTTGGATTGAAATCCTGCTTATCGAACAGGCCTTAGACACTGCTTGATAGGGCAGTGACAAGCTTAGGGAAATGGCTGTTTGAGTGACATAAAATTTCTGGTTAAAATAACAGTGTTCAGAGCCACTGCTGATGTTTTTCTTACTAGCACTGTTTTTTTGTGTGTGCAGACTTGGTAACCTTGCAGCTATCTCTGATAGCTTTATTGATTATTACTGGCTGTTGTCTAAATGTGATTCCTTGTTTCTTCCCTAGGAATGGGTATTAATTCTCAGAATCCTCGAATTTCAGGTCCAAACCCAGTGGGTCCAATGCCAACCCTTAGCCCAATGGGAATGACCCAGCCTCTTTCCCATAACAACCAGATGCCCTCTCCAAATGCTATGGGACCCAATATACCTCCTCACGGGGTCCCCGTGGGACCCGGCCTGATGTCACACAACCCAATGATGGGGCATGGTTCCCAGGAGTCTCCAATGGTACCTCAAGGACGCCTGGGCTTCCCGCAGGGGTTCCCTCCCGTACAGTCCCCTCCACAGCAGGTGCCATTTCCACACAACGGGCCCAGCGGTGGACAAGGCAACTTTCCAGCGGGAATGGGCTTCCACGGAGAAGGACCTCTGGGGCGTCCTACCAACCTGCCCCAAAGTTCGACAGATCCAGCACTTTGCAAGACTGGAGGCCCTGGCGGTCCAGACTCCTTCACTGTTCTTGGAAACAACATGCCTTCAGTTTTCACTGATCCAGAGCTGCAGGAGGTGATCCGTCCTGGAGCCACGGGAATACCCGAGTTTGACCTGTCCAGGATTATCCCATCGGAGAAGCCTAGCCAGACACTACAGTATTTCCCTCGTGGGGAGGTGCCGGGCCGCAAGCAGCCGCAGGGTCCCGGGCCCGGCTTCTCCCACATGCAGGGGATGATAGGAGAGCAGACCCCGAGGATGGGACTAACATTGCCCGGCATGGGGGGCCCCGGGCCGGTGGGAACTCCGGATATCCCTCTTGGCACGGCTCCGTCCATGCCCGGTCACAACCCGATGAGGCCGCCGGCCTTCCTGCAGCAGGGCATGATGGGGCCGCACCACCGCATGATGTCACCAGCACAGCCCGCCATGCCCGGCCAGCCCGCGCTCATGAGCAACCCCGTGGCCGCCGTGGGCATGATCCCGGGCAAGGACCGAGCCCCCGCCGGGCTGTACAGCCACCCGGGCCCTGTGGGGTCACCTGGGATGATGATGTCAATGCAGGGCATGATGGGACCCCAACAAAACATCATGATTCCCCCCCAGATGAGGCCCCGAGGTATGGCTGCTGATGTTGGCATGGGAGGATTTAGCCAAGGCCCTGGAAACCCAGGGAACATGATGTTTTAAGCTGCTACCATAAGACTGGATGTTCTGATCCTTGTCAAGATGAGATTCCAAGTCCTGAGGGCTTTTTTGGGAGCTTCAGGAGTATACAGTTTGGCCATGCAATAGGTGAAAAGAGACCAGAGGACACTTTGGGAAATCTCGAATGTATGGAATTACCTGAAAAAAAAAAAAAAAAATATTCATTTTAACAGGTTGTTTTTTTTTTAAGATTTATTTTTTAAAAATTATTTTTGTGGACTTGGGTATCCCGTGACGGCACCTGCTTTGAGAATCTGTAGCTGTATTTTGAGAATTGCCATTTGTCACAAGTTGCACCATTCTCTGTATGTTTACGTCCTTCGGACTGGCTTCTCCCAGGACTCTCGGTTATTTTTGGGGTTTTTTGTGTACTGTACTATATTGTAAAAGGGATTTTAGCAGAGACTTTAGTCTTTGGGGTGAGAGGAGAATGGGATTCTAGGCTGTTTACTTTAGGTGGAGAATCCATCTTCAGAACTTCGGACTATTTTCCTTCAACTCCAATGTATAGAAAAACCAAACTACGACCTCAGAGCAGAGTATTAATGAAAAGCACAAAAAAGGAACTTAAGTTCAGTGAGGGGAATCTTTTAAAAGAAATAAATAATAAGTTAAGGACATATTTTTCAAATTATGGCGTGCTGTCCAGCACCTTCTGTCTCTCCCTCCCACTCTTTATTAAATAGGCTTCTCTCTCTCTCCGTCCCCTTCTGTCTCCTCCTATGGCAGCTGCAATACATTGTGTTATTTTGGGGAGTAAATCTAGGAGAGCCTCTCCTCACGTGGGGACTCTTCCCACTTTTAGGAAGGGGCTGGACTTGGACACTGTTACATCCTACAGTAGTCTCTCTCACTGTTTCCTATTCTCCTTTTCTTAGAAACCCCAAGTGATTTTATTAATGTGGGAGTGGAACAGACACTAAAAGTTATCCAGGATTTTTTTTTTGTGGTTATTTTTTTTTTTCCTCCCCAGCGTAAAACGTTCTGTGTAACCTCCATTAAATTTGGTACAAAACCACTCGCCAGGGCTGTGGTGTCAGAAAAATAAAATATATTGTTTCTTACAAAAATGAACTGTCTCCTTTATCCAGTCCAGTTGTTTCTGTGTACATCAAACAGCTGGACAGATGACTGTTTCTTCTTGCTTGTGATCACAGCCAGTCCAGAGGCCAGGTGGGGTAAACCATGACAGCTCCTAAAAGTGGTCAGTAGGCAGCTGCGTGCTCCTTTTCAGGCAATTCTGTTAACTTAATCCTGAACTGAGCTTGTTTTCCCTTGGAGTGAGGTCTTATTTCAGAGCACCCCAGGAGCGATACTTAAAGACTTCCTCAATTTGTTGAGGGTCAAGGAACAGATGAAACTTGTCTCCTCCTGGAGAATGTTTGCAGCACTGCAAGGTAGGTGGGTCTGAGCTCTCCCTGAGCAGCAGTGTCAGTCTGCTGAGGCACTGGGATTGTGTCCCTCTCTGGGGACTCTGGATTGGGTCAGGTCCCTGTCAGCACTGAGAGCCTGAGATGGTGGGGAGCAGATGAACTTTAATAACAAAGGTGAGAGAGAAATTGTCAGTGAGCAGATTTTTATCAAGACAGCCCTGCTGAGTAAATTGTTGCTTTGCCACAGTTCTCATCGATTGCTTCCTAATCCCCTGTCTTTTCAAACCTGCCTTTTGAGAGGATTTCAGCAAGGAGGTTTTATGGTCTTGCCTATGAGGAGTGAAAGGCTGGATGACAAAACATGGATTGGGAGTTGAGCCCTGCTCCTGGAGAATATCAACATGAACCAGATACGGATCTGTAGGCCAGGGTGTGGGCTCTGTGGCTGCCTGTTCTCTGGTCCCCCAGCACTGTATATGTGTAATCTGTTCTTCCTTCCACTTACTGCTACTTAAAATGATTTCAATTAGTAGTTTCCTCAGAGGGCTGGCAATTAGTGTGAAAATCATGTGGAGAATGAGTATATTTAACATGCTTGTGTGTGAGGATTTTTTAGAGTTAACTGATCCTTAACAGGTGGAAAAAGAATTCCTCTTGGTGGCTGATTTACTAAACTTTTGTTGCCCGTGTTATAAAATGAGTGAAGCCATGCACAGTTGGAGACATGAAAGCTTCAGAGCCTTCTGTTGTCTGCTTCCAAATTCACCTTTGTGCTGTCATGCAAATTTACGATGATTTTGGGTGAGAATTACTCTTTTGACAAAGTGTAGGATGTCTGTTGTGGTGCTTCCCTCTGACAAGACAGGCAGCGTGCCTGAAGCACGCTTGTCAAGATTTTAGAAAGAGCTGACAATGACACAGTAAGTGTTATTTCTGTAGAGAGGAATTACCTCTTCTTTTAGTGGTTGCACAGCTCCATTTTGAGGACCTTGCATGGAAATTGTCACAATGCAACCTTTTTAAGTGTTGCCACTTCTGCCATCACTCCTGACTGTTTTTACCTTGTTGAACAAAGCAAAGTTCTTGATTGACATAGAAATGAGCCAGAGGTTTTGGGATTTTTTTTTAAACTGTCTTAGTGCCTCCTATGCCTGTTGAGATTTTGAATAGCAAAGGATTTGAGGTGGCTGTGATTTATTCTAGGAAAATTAGCATAGGGAATTCACTCTTCCAAAGCCACTGAACAGCGAGAGGATACATCTTAAACATGCTGTGTAATTAAAGTTCCTTCTGTGTCTGTCTAACTTACAATGCTGGCATTTGGTATCTTAATGAGATTTTTCCTACAGAAAGTGCAGAAGATGTGGATCCTGACCTGAGTCCACGTAGGTGCACTTAAACTCAGTGTTTGCACCAGCAGATGGAAAAGAGTTGCTAAGAGCTGGCTTCAGTTGTGAAAATTACTCTGTAGATATGCGTCGATGAACTTCTTTGTTTCGCTCGGATTCTACTTCTTCCCCTTTTGCTTTACAAATGGAAAAGCTTTCTAGCTGTCAGCCTTGCAGATTCACCTGAGGATCTGTAAGCCAGGCTCTGTTCCCTCCTGCTTATCAATAGTAACTGTGACTCAGCTTTGGTAGTCATGGTACAGTTGAAGATGGAAAGTGGGTTGCCATTTTTAGTTTTCTTCCCCTCCCCGCCTGCTTTTTTTTTTTTTTTTTTTAAAGCTTTCAAATCATCCTCCTCCACCTTTGTTTGAAAGAATGAAATAGACTTTATTCATACATGCTTGGCTGCTCTTCCTCTCTAGTAACATGGGAGGAAACAGTCTGCTGTTCAAATTATCTCATCCCAGATGGTTGCGCAGCCGGAGTGTAGAGAGACTTAAAAGGTAAACCCAGCAGATGGTGAACTTCTGAAATGCTAAGTAATGTGCCTGCTAAATCAAAAGTTTAAAATATTTGAAATCTGTTTGTTTTAAATTAGTAGACTTGCACTCAGGTCATCTGTGAAGCACACTGGCAGTTTTAAGCACCGTTCGAATAAACTCGAGATTTGTACCTGTATCATGGGCTAGCTAATCTGCCAAAGAAGATGACAGCAAGGAGTCAGCCTTAGGAGTTTAGTCCTGACATCCTTGGGGTGTCTGATGGGTCACATTTTAGAAGACAGACCAGTGTGTGAAGATCTGATCTGCATCTCTCTTTGTTGGGATTTGAATGCTGGGAGTGCTTCTGGTACAGTACATGTGTCCTGACTCAGAGTAGATGTGGGTGCCAAAATCTTCCTGAGGGTAAGTTGACATCCAGCATTTTTTGTTGCCCCAGAGTGTTGGGACTATTATAAATATGGTATATGCAAGGCTTAATTTTGTGGTGCTTTGTGTGCTTTCTGCTATGCTGGTTTTCACTCAGGTGTCAGAACAGGCTACGTTTTATTGGTGGTATCCTTCTGCACTCATGATGGTGAATGTTTTCCTTGTGCAGCCTCACCAGGTTGCTGGATAAAACCTGTTCCCTAATGTGACACTTCTCGAGGAAAAATGAACCATGTTTGATATAGGCTTGTATTTACTAAAATGTACTTCACTTTGTCAATTGGTAGTAATTCTTGACCTAAAAATAGTTAATAGGAGAAAAAGTGATGCTGTTTTGTTTGGGATACTGGGAAATTGTTGATTTCTAGGAATTTTTATTCCACATTCTCAGGAATGTCTCAGTTTTTCCATGTTGTGTTTGCAATACGGTAGCTCCCACATACCTGTGTCCTTCAGTGTCACTGTCAGACATGAAATGATTCACACAGACACAGCTCGAAGTGTGATGAAAGAAGAAAGTTTATTCTTTCCTTTCAGTATTTATAGGTTTTTGACAAGGACCAGGGATTGGATAGTCAGGTTACCACCTTCCCAACCACACTGGCTGTGAGAGACATCCATCAAAAGGCATATCTTTAATGGAATGTATAAACATCTATGTTTATAGTTACTTTCCTGGGAAAGTGGCTAGAAATTATGAAAACAATATTGAAAGGCCTGATTCTCAGGGAAACACTTCAGTATTAAAACCCTTCCACTGTCCAACCAATCCTCTTCTGAAATGATAATTTACACTAGCTGTGGTCAGAAATAACTCCTTCATCCTGTGGGCCACAACTGCAGTGGAAGTGCTCAGTGGGGTTGTACCACTGTGTGGCCCAACCACTTCCACACTGAGGGGATGGGTAAGGCTAGAACAGGGCAGAGGGGGCACTGCAGATACCAGACAGTGAAGTAACCTGTTCCCAGTGGTGTCTTCCAAGGCACTGCCAAGAAGCTGGCCTGCTTTTCTGAGGTCTTCTGCTGTTACTGAAATTTGTGTTACCCTGCCTAGAGTGATAGGAGGATCTTAATTGTGTAAAAGCTGTGCCCTTTAACAATCTTACCTGCTCTGGAGTAACTTGCACTGCTGAGTGCTCTGCCTCGTGGCTGTGTTGCAATTTTTAACCTGGCTACTGCTCAGTTTTGTTGGGGATGCTCCTAGTTGTTATTTAAGAGTAGGTACGTGAATTCCCCCTTTGTATGGCCAAAGCTTCTGATGCTTTTCTCCAATCAGTCCATACCTCGCAAATAACTTATAATTGTAGACCTAATATATTCATCACTGTTCCCCAAATACTTGAAACTGTATAAGAGAGAGCTTGATTAGAGCAGAACACACTGTTCTCAAGCAGGGGTAGGCATTGATTTTTTTATATAGTGGCATTATGGTTTTAGGCTGTATAAAAGCTTGATGGAAAATAACAATGTTTTGTTTGCTTTTTTGACAGCTTCTAATAGCAGTTCAGTGGGACCTCCAGCAATGTATTTAGTATTCAAATTATTCTGTTCACTGTGCATGGTTGTCAACATGTAATTGTGGTGGGGGTAGGCTAATGAAAGAGTAGAGGTAAACCCAGCCCATTCTTCTCAGGGAGAAGGTGCTGTAGTGCCTCCATCACATATCTGTCAATGACTTACATTAAGTGATTTTTTCACTAAGCGAGAAGAGGTAACACAGAATCTGAACTACAGTGCCATTTTAAAAAATGGTCCCCCTATTTTAACCTCTGCCTATCCCAAAGAAAGTAGGGATTTATTAACCATGTTTTATTTACTTACTGAAAAGTAGATGTCTTTTTCAATGAAATAGTGAGATCGAGTGCACCCTCACCAAGTTTGCAGAGGACACAAAGTCAGGTGGTACCGTTGACACAAGAGAAGGACCTGGTCAAACTTGAGAAGTGAGAATGTAGCGAGGTTCAGCAAGTCCTGGTACATGGTGCTGCAGGGTCAGGGGAATCCCAGACATGAGAGCAGCCTGGGAGAACTCACTGAGAGCAGCCCTGTGGAGTTGTGGTGGATGAAAAGCTGGACATGAGCCAGCACTGTGTGCTCGCAGCCCAAAAAAGCCAACCATGTTCTGGCTGCATCCAAAGCCCTCTGGGCAGCAGGTCAAGGGAGGGGATTCTCTGCCCCTCTGCTCTGCTCTGGTGAGACCCCACTGCAGTGCTGCATCCAGCTCCTGGGCACCCAGCACAAGAAAGATGTGGACCTGTAAAAAATCAGTTCAGAGGAGGCCACAAAGCTTCTGCTATGAAAACAGGCTGATAGAGTTGGGGTTGCTAAGCCTGGAAAAGAGAAGGCTGCAGAAAGACTTTAGAGCAGCCTTCCAGTGCCTAATGGGGGGCTTATAAGAGAGAGAGTAACTTTTTACATGGGTAGACAGTGATAGGACAAAGGAGAACAGTTTTAAACTAAAAAGGTTTAGGTTCAATTCTTTACTGTGAGAGTGGTGAGACACTGGCACAAGATTGCTCAGAGAAGCTGTGGATGCCCCATGCCTGTCTGAAAATGTTCAAGGCCAGGTAGGATGGAGCTTTGAGCTGCTCAAGTGGATAGCATCCCTGCCCATGACAGGGGGTTGGAACTATATAATCTTTAAGGTCCCTTCCAACCCAAACCATTCTACAATTCTATGACTTTGACAACATTGTAATTTCTTGTACTTACAGGAAAAGCTGTCATGTCAGCCGGAAGTGCTGCTGTTGGCTAGTGCTGTATTCCTCTTTCAGCAAGTGTAAAATAGATCACTGCTACCCAAAGCTGAAGTTGATAGCAGCTCCCCAGACTTCTTTGTTTAAAGCACATTAAGCAGAGTTCACCAAGATTGTGTGCGCTTGTACGTGGCCCACTGTGGTTGTTCTGCATGTTCATGACAGAATTTCCATAATTAGAGGAGTGCTGGGAGAGGTTTGGAGGCTTTCTGTCCCTTTGGAGATGTTTTCTGTGCATGAAAATGCCCTCAAGAAGATGGGGTAGCTAAATGCTATGCAATTAGGGAGGCTCATCTGTCTGCAGAGAGCAACCCTCCAACATGCCAAAAGAAAGGGAAAGACACAATGGCTTCTGCAGTTTACCAAACATAAAATCAATGTTAAAGCTTTCAAGTCTGGTAGCACAAAGCAAGCTGGGCTTCATCCCACAGTCCCAGCATGTGAGGAAAAGGTATGTTTTGTCTCGTACTCCTCATGCAGATGGGCAATGTAAAATGGTCTGTTCTCTCCCTTGCCGTTCTGAGCCTCTCCCTGCTTTTGTGTGTGGTCACCTCAGGAGTAAACTTGAGCCATTCTGTCACGTGGCTTCTTTCAGCTTGCTGCTAACAGTGTAAAGTGACACTGTGCCACCCTGTGTCTGGTAGGAAAATGTCCCCTCATCTAAAATACCTTTGGAATAGAGAAGGCTGGCAAGGACATAAAGAAAAATAGTCAAAGATTGTGACAATAAACTAATTTTAATTTAAGACAGCTTAAGTCAGTGAGTTAGTTTACTGTCCGTTTTGGAACAGAGGTTACTGTACTCCTTTGGTGTGAGCGAGTACTGTGAAAGGACTTCCAGAAATTCTTCAAGTGGGCAGAGACCTGCTTTACAGCCTTTTACCACTTGCTCCTGCAAGGCAAAGAGACAGAATCACAGATATTGTGCACTGCCAAAGCCCTTTTTCTGCTGCATGGTGAAACCACAAACCCGAGATTTGTAGGAGGGACTTCCCAAGGGATCTCACCTCTCCACGGTAAGACACACGCACAAACCACTCCTTGGAGCGCCGGTGCTGATAAAGTTCCAGGATCACATCAGAAGCATAAGGTGGCCACTTGTTATCAAAGGTGCCCAGTGCCAGCAGGAGAGGAATAAGAGTGGAGTCATGAGAAGCATAGAGGAAGAGCTTTCTGGAAAAAAAAAAAGGGAAAAGAAAAAACAGACCTGGAATATCAGCTGTGTTCCTCCATGGATAGGCAGTAGCACTCATGCTTTTTCCAGCAGGTGAGCACTTCTTTTTATCCCACACATTCAATGTCTTTCTGAACCAGTTTTTCACACTGACATCAATTTAGAATTTATAACAGTTAGAGGAGGAGTTCTCTGCCATACCTGTCCTTTTCAGCTGGATTTGAGGGATTTACTGCTGCTTTGATGTTCTTCTGTAAGGTATTGAACAGGAGGCCAATATTCATCTGAAGGATTTCTCTGGAAAAGAAGCAGAAATAAATTTATTAGTTTTAAAACTTTCACACAATTACACATGAAAACTTGAGAATCTGCTTTTCTCTTATGATTTGATAACCTGAACTGAGTGTAGTTAAGAACTATTAAATGCAATTAACATGGCCAGTTTTTAGTTCAGCTGTTGTGCAGTCACGACTCTAATGTGACTGCAGAATAGGAGGGCAGAGGTGTTAACAAGCAATCTCATGAGGTGTGGCCATGTAAATGGCAATCTAGAAACTCTGATTGTTCTCGAGGCTGTTTTGTTTCCCTGAAACAGTTTTTGAGTGCATGGGTTTCAGCTAGGGAAGATGACTGCTGCAGAACAGCAGCTGAAGGTGGCTGGGGGTCTTTGGTGAGGAGGGCAGGATTCAAGAAAGTGGTTGCTATATTCAAAAAGTAGTTTTTATCCTCTTATTAAATAAAGAGATGATCTTTATACAATGTCTGGTGGGAAGAAACTCCCTCTACCTAATGAATACATCAGTGGAATGGAAGATGAGTGTGACTAACTCTCCTGGGTGTTGTGGGAACCAGTCTTTCACTACGTGAGCTCTCTAATACATGGTAAAGAAAAGACAGTCCTGTACTACCACCTGAGAAGAGCTGATGAATGTGGCAGCTGCAAATGAATCTAAAAGGAAAATGACTGCTAGGCTAGCAACTCAGCCAGCCTTTACAAACAACTGTGGAGGAGGCAATTAGCTGCACGTAGCAGCAGATTCTCTTTGCAAGTAGTTACATGTGTGCAGGACCTGGCATCACTTTTTCCGCTAGTGCCAGCACTTCTCAGCCGAGCTGTGCAGGTGCCATCCCTGGGATAAGCTTCCCAGGCTGGAATTTGGACTGTACTTGTGCAACTGCAAGGGCAGCCTCAGGGCATGGGCTCAAAGCATCTCCTCTTTTCTTCTTTTGTTTTTGCCACTGGTTCACTTAAACCCCTGTGGCAACTGAGGCCTTCACTGCCTACCTCAGTGGCTTACTGCTGCTCCTGGGAGACCACCCTCTCTCTGTGAGGATCAACAAAACAGGATGCAAACCCACATCCTGTGCTCTTCAGTGTGCACTCCTTTTTCCCAGCTCACGGTACTGACTCAAGGCACTGAATTTTACAGTGAGACGGCTGAGGCACAAACCTTAAGAGTGAGCTCTGATGGGGGAATGCAGCAGATGGGAAAGCATTTCTGTCTGCTGAAGTAAGCTGGTTTAGCACATCCACCCCGGGTAAGACAGCCCCTGAGGGCTGAGGCATGGACACAGGCAATCACCTGGAACTGTCTTCCAGAAGGAAAAGCATGGAGTCAACAGCTCGGCGCTCCACTGTCTGCTGGAAGCTCTTGAGCACAGGGCAGCTTGGCAAATTGTGCACCTGGAAGGAGGAGATGCAGCAGTGTGGTAGGGTTTGATCCTTTCTGAACCCAGCCTGAAGACACGTGGATGACTGCCCACAGAAAACAGCTGCTCACGTCACACCATTGGTACTACAGTATTGTACTACGATACTCATGTGAGGATATCTAGGATGGTTTTAAACAAATAGTCTTGCTCTGTGTACCAGAAGGACTATGATATTAATGTGAGGATTTTTAGGATGGTTTTAAACACACAGACTTGCTTTGTGTACCAAAAGGATGAATGCTTGTTCTTCAGGATCCAATTCTATGGGGAGTGTAATACGTTGGGCCATTCAGCTTACAGACCAGTTATAATTAGCTCCAGCAAACAAGAAGTACTAAGGAGGGGTAGAAATGTGCCCAGCTTCCTTTCAGTAGCAGAAGCAGTCTGGCTCACAGCTAGTGTGCTGGAACTGGGATTAAGATGACTATTGGGTGCTGAGTGCCAAAAAAGGGAAAGCATTTTGTAATGGGTAAGCAAGGCCCAATGCTTCTCTTAGCTCTACACTTGAAAGAAATACTGGGTTTCAAGGTAAGGACAAAAACATTGGTGACAAGTCTTCATCCATTCTACAGCAAGGCTGACTCCACATCTTGCTTTTTCAAAAGGCCATGCTATTTCTCTAAGCATTCTGGGTTGCATAGAAAGGTACTGGAGTGCACATTAATATCTGTGGGTTTTGGCACTGTGATTTCCTCCACGTGCAAGGAAAGGGGATGTTTCTTTCTGTGACAGTGCAACAGAACAGCTCAGCTTACCTGTTCAGCAAAAATGTTATCGAGGAGGACAAAAAAATCCAAAGACTCATCACCATCAATACCCATCCTCTTCTTAATTTTTTTCAAGTCATCAGAGATACCTGGCTGCTGCCTAGCATTCTCTGACCTATTCCTGCAAAGGAATTAAGAAAAAAAATAATTCACATACCAGACTTTCTATCTTTTGTTTTTCTCATCACCCAGCCCAGTGGACTTGTCCCACATCAGTGAGGGGTAGAGGAGAAGCACTGTAGCATACTGAAGGGGTTCCTGATGTTGGGAGTCTGAGCTGCAGGAAGGACCGATGCTGTATCGAGATTTCAAGGATCAGAGCTGGCTCTGCTCTCGCAAAGGCAGTACAAAAAATTAAGATGAGATGTGAACATCCCAGAAGTGCTTCCCATAAGCAAGGGCTGTGCATCAGCTAACAGATCTGGTCATACTGGAATAGCACAGGTCTGTGTCTTCAGGGAGTAGCCTTTAACTGCCTCATGAAAGAAGAAAGGGCAGAAGCTTTGAACTGATTGCTGTATGGTGTGGGAAATGGGAAACACCTAGATACTTGCTTGTAGTTTAAATCTACCTTTTGCTTTGTTAGAAGCCATTTGCATCTTTATGCTGCTTTAAATTTTATTTTAAAAAGTTCAGCTGAGAATATCCATGCTGGCCATGTACTCCCCTAGGGAGCCTGCAAGCTGAGGCAGTGCTCAGTGCAGCTCAAAGAGTCTACCTTGATATGGTCACAAAAGGTGCAGTTGGTGGGCAGAGGGGAGGGCAGGGAGCAGCAGACCCTGCAGTTTACTCATCTTTTTGAACAGGAGGCTGCTGCTTCTAGGGGCTGTCACATTACCACTGTCTAGACCAATCCTTTGCCTGCAGAGTCAAACATTGCACATGAGCTCTTGCAAGCAAAGTCTGACAGCTCTTGAATTTTGGACAAAAATATGCTAACGCACAGTCTAGCCAACCTGTAATATATCTGCCTCTCTTTATCATTTTCCACCCTGTGCCCACACCTTGCACAAGCATTGCAGAGTACTTGACTCTGCAAACATGAGTGTTGTCTGTAGCATCTTCCTTATTTCACTTTATTAATCTTCATTAAATGTGTCATGGCTGAGTATATTTCAGTTTCTTCAAGGTATGAATGTGATGAGAATGTTGAAACAACCCCCAAACCAGAAGCTGAATATAAAAAGGAGGCCCAATATGTTCACACTTGAAAGGCTTGTTAAAGGATGTAGATGACATTAATTCTGCCCTGCAGCAATGCCACAGACTGGCTGTACATTAGCTAGTAATGAGTGTTTGCTAGACACAGACTAAATTAAACAGGTCTTTCAAGGAAAAGTCTCTATTTTCTTCTGCTGCCACTGCCTGGTGTGTAATTCCACTTATCAAGTATTTTATACAACTAGCTGACCATTCCCAAAGAACAGTTAAGTGGTAAGGAAAGAAATTGGGAAATGGGAAGAAATTGTGCTGTTGTAAATTACTACTGCTGAGACAGAAGGACACTGAGATCATACAGGGAGATATTGCTGGCAATTACCTGGTCAGGTATTTCAGGCGCGGGCAGTTTTGGTAATTGGGGTGGAGCATTTCAGAGCTTGCTTCATCAGTGACAATGACAGCAGGTCCTGTGGAACAAGAAGGAAGTTTCTGTGATCAGTAGTGCATCTGTGTTTCTTTAATTTCTTTAGACTGCTTTATAATCACTGCCAGTCTTTCTGCTCGAGTCCAGTGTTATCAACTAACAATTTCCCCTGAGCTGTCACCTGCAACACGAGCCACTGTACTTGTTTCTGTGCATTTATTTCCACAGGGATGCCTGCTGTGCACCTTGTAAAGGTGTTCCCACTTGTGTGTTCATTTCTCTTAGTGCCAAAAATTAGTGTCTGTATCATGAAGTGTAAGGAGCTCTGGCAAGTCACTTCTACTTGTTTGTGGAACTGAATATGGAAGGAGAAAATGTGAGATATTTAAAATGCAGAGCATATTTTTAGAACATAAAACCAGTTGCCAACTGCAGGATACAGGTGAAAGTTACTCCAGGTACTGAACTTGTATCCAAGATATTTGTGTTTCCCTGAGAAACCTTTTGCAGATGTGTGAACTTTTTGCCATCTTGATTTTCAAGAGGGCTAACACTAACCTCCTTAGCAGGTCTGAAAGAGCAGCAGAAAGATGCAAAAAAGATGGAACAAGTGACAAGCTGGTAAAGAATCTACAGGACCAGGAGAACTGGGGAAGGGAGCCAAGTGCAAAGAGCCAAGGAAAAAGTAACTACTAGGAGCCAGAGAGAGTTAGGGTGCAGAAGGCATGTGCATCTAGGGAAGACTAAGCAAGGAAAAGCACTATTCAGAAGTCTCCCCAACCTTTCTGCTGTTGGTACAGCCCAGCTAGCAGGCACCGTGTGGACTCCAGATTCCGGAAAATATTAGTGGAACGGATGCTGAAAGAGAGAAAGCAGTTTGTGAGGGAGAACTTTCTCCTTCATGTTAATGTGGCTGCAGCTGGGGAGGTCTTGCTGGACCTGAGAATTCTGTTTCCATCATGGCTTTAGAAATCTGTGGTGGGACTCATCTTTTGTCACTACAGATATCTTAGGCAGACACCTATAATCTGAACTGCCCTTTAACTGCACGTCAGAGATAGTGGAGATAACAAACTGGTGTGATTTTTTTATCTCATCCTAAGCCAGATGCTCTCAGCATTACTGATGTGAGCAGCAGGGGTTGCTTCATCTTACTGAATTTCAGCTGTTCACAGTGAGTTAAAGTGTGCTCCAGAAACGCCTGTTTCTCTTTGCTCACCATGAAAGTGAGTAACAGCACTGCCAATGGCTCAGCCTAGGTGAGATGAATCTGTCCCTGGCATCACTCTCAGGACTGCTGAGCAAAGATGAAGGCCCAGAGGTCAGGCAGTTTGCTGTGGGGTGGAGAAGGCTATGCTAGCCAGAGTTTCCCTAGCACAAGGCTACTTGTTAAGAAACAGGAAGAAAGGGAAAGTCCAGGAGGAAACTGGGAGACTCACAAGACCTCAGCAGGTTTAAATGTTGGTGAAAGAAACTTGACTTCTTCCACATAGCTTCTCCTCAGCCTCTCCCCCAGGGCGAATGTCTGCTGCATCCCCACTTTTGTCAGCTGTCCTGCGACTACACCACCCTAAAAGCAAAGAAAAGGAGAGGTCTCCAGTGGATCATGGAAATAAAAAAGTCTTCAGATGAAAGAGGAACCCACCAGGAAATACAACCTCACCTTAAATACAGTCTTTTTGTATTCCGCATCCAAGGGTGAGGGGGGTTGAGGTCCTCCATTTAGGTCTGTGACCACGTAATCAAACTTAGTCTTAGCAGGTACATCTAAAAGAGTGGGATGCCATTCCACCTGTTTCAAAACAAACAAACAAACAAACAAACAAACAGTGTTTCAGTGGAAAACTTTCAAGGGCATTAAACCAAGGACTTTTAAGAGCATTAAACTAATGCTGGAGTATTACAGTGTGCTGCCTTGCCAACAATACAACACAGAGACAAAGGGATCTCTTTACACAGCTCAGAGAGAAATAAGAGCAGTGCTGCTCTCTGGATTTGCAGATCTGATGTGCAGGAAATGCAGTACTTACTTTCCTCCCCTTGCAGGAAAAGCATCTGTAGAAAATCACAATTGCTACTGTTTGTTACACATCAGAAAGCTGCTGTAGGAAACTACCTGAGCTAATCCCTGCTGGATCCCCAGGCCACCTCGCTGGCAGCTGGGGGAGTTGGATCACTTGTGGTAACACCAAGGCAGGAGCCACACCTTTGCTGAGCACCTGTTGTGAGGTGCAGAACTTGGCCTTGGAGTAAAGTTCATGGGCACAGCAGTCCCGGGATGCCCATCCCTACATCCTGCCCCTGAGGGCTCCCTGCAGTTGCAGCAATTGTTCCCTCTGCTGTCATCTGTCTCACTAATGCACTATCATCACTCCACTTTAAAGAATCACAGAATTGATTAGGTTGGAAAAGACCTCTGAGAGCAAGTCCAAGCTGTGACTGAATACCACTGTGTCAACCAGGCCACAAAGACATCCAATCTTTCCTTAAACACCTCCAGGGACTGTGACTCCCAACACTGCCCAGAGCAGCCCATTCCACTGTCTATTCACCCCTCTTTGTGAAGAGATTCCTCCTATTGTCCAACCTGAACCTCCTGTGGCACAGATTAAAGACTGTCTCCTCTCATCCTGCAGCTGAGAGAAAAGCCTGACCCATACCTGGCTACAACTCCCTTTCAAGAAGTTGCAGAGTGATAAGGTCACCCCTGAGCTTCCTCTTTTCCAGACAAAACACCCCCAGCTCCCTCGGTGGCTTCTCCTAACACTTGTACTCCAGACCCTTCCCCAGGTCCGTGGCCTTTCTCTGGACTCGCTCCATGTTCTTCCTGAACTGAGGGTCCCAGAACTGGACAGGGATGATCCCTGCCCTGCTCCAGGCCAGGATGCCACTGGCCTCCTTGTCCACGCGGGCACACTCTGCCTCACGTTCAGTCGCTGTCAAGCTGCACCCCCAGGCCTTTTTCCATGGGCAGCTTTCCAGCCACTCTCACCCAAACCTGTAGTGCGGCATGGGGTGCAAGCTCCCAGATTCCCACGCTTTCCCCTCGGAAATTACTCTCGGTATCGCCTCGGGAAGGGGAATAAACGCCAACCCACCAGGCTGCCGGGAGCAAGGCAGGAGCTCAGCAGCGGGCACGCCGCCGGCTCGGGCTCGGGGCACCTCCCGCACCACCCCCGTCCCGTCCCGTCCCGTCTCCCCCGAGCTCACCGGGGCTGCCCCCGGGATCGGCCGCAGCGGGGTACGAGCTCCGTGCCGGAACACGACCTGCACCAGCCTCAGCTCCAGATNCGCCCCCGCCCCGGTGCGGGCACGGCCCTCAGCCGAGCCCGCCGGCGCTCGTGTGCCTCTGCTCGCCGTCTTGCTTTAGTTATCGTCCCTGTGGGACTCGCCGGGCGCGAGTGTGCACAATAACCCCGTGTAGCGTTCCAGGCTTGGGGAAGAGTGGCTGGAAGGACCTGGAAAAGGACGTGGGGGTGCTGGTCACAGCGACTGCGCTGAGCCAGGTGTGCCCGGGAGGCCAAGGAGGCCAATGGCATCCTGGCCTGGAGCAGCAATAGCGTGGCCAGAGGAGCAGGGCAGGGATTGTCCCTCGGTTCTCGGCACTGGTGAGGCCGCACCTCGAGTGCTGTGTTCGGTTCTGGGCCCCTCACTTGGAAAAGCCATTGAGGCGCTGGAGCGAGTCCAGGGAAGGGTCTGGAGCACAGGGATTATGAGAAGCCACTGAGGGATGGGGGGGTGTTTAGTCTGGAGAAGGAGGCTCAGGGGGCACCTTACTGCTCTCTGCAACTCCCTGAAAGGAGGGTGTAGCCAGCTGGGGCTTGGCCTCTGCTCCCAGGGAACGAGCGACGGGATGAGAGGACAGGGCCTCAAGCTGTGCCAGGGGAGGGTCAGGCTGGACACTCCGAGGGATTTCTTCACAGTAAAGGTGATTAGATATTGGAATGAGCTGCCTGGGAGGTGTTGGAGTCATAGTCCCCAGAGGAGTTCAAGGAGCAGGGCAAGGGTGAAGGAGGGAGAGGATGGTGACATGCACAAAGGCCAGAGGAGGAGCAGCTGCAAGTGGTGCGAGGTTGGCACAGACACCAGGACGTGCAGAGGGGGGATTTTGGTCAATTCCTCGTGTCTCTCAAAGCCCTGCAGCTCTGAAAGGGTTACCTCAGTTTTCTGAGGTTAAGAGTATGTGAAACACAGAGGCACAACAAGAGCAGAGAGAGACGGGGAAAAAAAAAATGCTTCAGAAGCCAAAAAACACCAAATGAAGGAATCAAGCCTAAATCTTGTGTTGCAGGAGAGTGAGGGGTCAAGAATGCTGAGGGGAGAGGGAGCAGGAAAATGTAGTTAAGAGGGAGAGAAGGCAGAAGAGAGATAGAGGTGATGTGATAGAAGTGAGCAGGGAGAGAGGCTCACGGTGAATTTATTCATATTTCCATTCAAATGTTACCGTGGAAGAAAACCCCAGTTCCTGTGAAGTTGTGAAGACTGGGACTGCAGGGTCTCTCCTGGGTGGCCCTGGCTGCTGCCAAGCAGCATTACTGGTGAGATATATTTTAGAGTACACCACACCACAGCAGGTGCGTGCAATTAGAGGAGAGATCTCCAAAATAGCAGGCGGCTGTCAATTTTTTAGCAAATGGTGTTGCCCTGTTTTTTTTTTTTCTTTGTCCAACTGTGTAGAAATTTATTCTAAGATGCACCATCTTTACAGAAACATTTTCAAAGGACCTGTTATTTTTACCCTTCTGTTGCTTTTTGTGACCAGACGAGGAGCAGAAGGCTAATCCAATGGCCAGCAGGGGTGAAATTTTTTTTCACTGAAAGAAAGTAATGAGCTCTAATGAGCAAACAAGTTTCAGGAAACTTTCCACTCTGAAAGCAGAGCACAGATTTCCTCCTGGTTGGAATTTAACCAAATTGTAATGATTGCTATCTTTGCGACATATTACCATTGCTATAATTTGCCTTTTACAGGGCTACAAAAATGTATCACACCTCAGAACACTCTGGTTTTGTAAGTTTGCATTTGCATCCTCCTTTTTTTGATGAGGAAAGTGAGTCATAGTAAGTTTTGTAGTTTGACCAAGTCACGCAGTTGTTGTGTGGCTGATAATTTGATAAGGTGTGAGGCCAACTAGCATGATAAGATATTTTTGTTCCATAGGTGGATTAAAATTAAATAATACTTAAAAAATACCCACTAAAGAAACAATTTAACCTAATGAGTTTGTGTGTTTTATTGTTTTTTGGACTAAGTGAACACCCTGTCCCTGAACAAAGGTAGAGGATGGCCAGGTTGGATGGGGCTCTGAGCAACCTGGTCTAGTTGAAGGTATCTCTGCTCATGGGGAGGGGGGAGGTTTGGAACTGGATGATCTTCAAGGTCTCCTTCCAACCCAAACCGTTCTATCATTCCGTCATGCTATGAAAGATCTTTATCTCTTTGTGGTGTAAATCAGAGATTTACATAAAATGTTCGTATGATAGAGGCACAAATAGCATTTGGATGCCCCTTTGGGAGCTGGGTTTATTTCCCCTGACTGGTAGGAGTCAGAAAAGAGATATGACTTCTTTGGTTCCTTTCCCAAGTGCGTTTTGTGAGGAGAGTGAACTGGAAATGTTCTCCCACAGCTCTTCACTGCACAGGCTGCAGCTGGGCTGGGAGCCTGGCTGCTGGAGAAGGGTGGCTTAACCAGCCTGGTGGGACTGTTCAAAGTGGGCCACAAGCAGCTCCTGCCAAGCGTGATACCTCTGTGTGCCAGCCTTGTTTGGGGGCATCTCCACCTCTGGGTGCAGTATGGGCTGCTCTGCTCTAGCACAAAGTGTTTTCCTGCCCTTCCAAAAACTTCTCCTACCCCAAAATGTTCCCATGGCTGGCTTCCTGAGTGCAATGAAGATGCTTTTGCTCTGGTCCCTTGAAATGATCACAGGTACTGAAATCTCAAGTGCAACATGAGCAGGAGTTTGTGCAGGATTCATGTTTGGAATCACAGGCTGCTGCATCCTGCGGCCAAAAGAGCTTTCTCCATTCTCATCTCTGGAGCTAATGGTGACGTCTCTTTGTCCAGCAAGGGCTGCTGACCACAGTGGCTGTTTTAAACCAGTCTGGGCATGGAAGCTGTATTGCCTTCACAAAGGGCTGGACTTTATTTATAAATTATTTGAGTGTGCTGTGCTGCTTCCTGTGGAGCTGTATCACTCTTGTCTCCTCCAGTCTGTCTGTTGTGGTGAACGTTGTAGCCAGCTGCTTTGTGAGCAAGGCGCCTGGGGAAATGGAAGGAATGTTTCCACTCCTAAAGTCTGTGATCCTTTGGGGTGGAATTGGCAAAAATAAACCCCTAAATGCCACCACAAACCAAGCCCTCCCTGTAAGACACCATTCATGGTACACTGTGCAAATCTGATGCAACTTGTCTCATTTTCTGCATGCTTTCACATCAGTGCTTTACCTTCCAGCAGTGAAATGATGTGTGTCGATACTTAGAGGTCATAATTTAATTTCTGAGTTCCTGCTGGTTGTGTGGGAGAGTCCTGGAAGTCAGGGTATTTAGGATTGGCATAGTGAGGAGATTTTTGGAAATTTTCTTCTATGTATTTTAGAAACAGGTCATCAGACAGTTGGTAGTTTTCTGCTCCTTTTACTTGGGAAGATGTGGCTTTTCCTCACTTTCCTTTGTCATTTCCAGGCTTGGGCATTTGGTCATTGTCGGTGTGGCAGTGGGAGAGCTGGAAGCCGGCCGTGTGCTGCTGACGGACCGACTGCGCCGAGGTTCAGCCCCTGCCCAGTAACCCAGCGCAGAAGATGCATTCCCTGCCTTCTGTTTTTCTTTTGTTCCAACTTTGTCATCCTAAACTGGATGATGCCTGCAGCCATCTGCTGCATTTGGTCTGCTGCGGCATCATGCCGACTCAATTATGCACCGCTCTGGGAGAACAGCAGGCTGGTTTTCTCTTCAGCTTTGAAAGAGTGTTTTTCCCTTGCACAGGAAGGCTGAGGGAAGTAGGAGCCTCCAGAAGCAAGCTGGATAAGCTGTTCCCAGCCATGTCAGGTGGACTCTGTGTCTGTGCAGTCCAGGTGTGGTGGGAGAGCTGCCAGGCTGTCACCGTGCCCGAGATGCTGCATCCTGGGACTCGGAGCTCCGATGCCGTGGCAGATGTACTCCCTTGTGGCAGCACTTAAGTGTTTGGCACTTTTAAGCTTTATCACCTCATTTACTTTTCGTGGATATATATTAAACCAAGGGTATTTCTATTAAACCAAATGTTTTGGGATGATATGAAATTAAAAAGGAGATGGTGCAAGTGTAAATTACATTTGCTTTTTTTCAAAACAGCCAGGAGGGGAGGGCTGCAAAGAGATGATGTTTATCCTTACAGTGGACTTCTAGCAAAGTTGTTTTGTTATGCTTTCATACTCAGAGAGAAGTGACCATGCAGGATTTATGTGTGTGATTCAGCTTGTGACATCAGTCTTCTTCTTGTGGTGGGCAGAGGAGACAACCAAAATCTAGGTTATGTTATATTATTTCATTTTTCCTTTTTCTATTTTTTTTTCTTTATTTTGTTTTTCTGCAGGTTTATGATAAATTTTGAGACTCCAGGACTGCTTCACATTTTCTTCTTCAGTTTCCCTGCAGGTAGTGGACTTGATGGATTTCAACATGGAGCCACTCACTGTTTGCTGTTTGAATCCTCCTGGGCTGTCCATAGTGCCCTGATCCTTTTCCCCCTTCAGTAAATTCTCCTCTTCATTACATGACGATAGGGGTCAGATCAAGTGGTGGGGAGCTAGAAAACAGGGACTTGTGCTATTTACATTTAAGACATTTCTGGCCCCACCAGCTGTTCCATGTGTGTTATTTTCAGAAGGGCAATAATCCACGGGAGGTCAAGAGGGTGGAATTGTGTGAATATATTGGGTGAAGGAAATCAAGACGCTTGGGAGTACCCAGGCCTTGTCATGACAGAGAGTCTGGATCCCAGATGATTCTGGCTGGGGAGAACTCAAGGAGAGTTCTCAAAGTGCTGTTTGCATGGCTAGGAAGGGCTGCTCAGCTGGGTGTTGTTAGCTGTTTTTGAGAGTCATCTGTGTTTACACTGCTGGCAGGACCACCTGTTTGTTTTTTTTAACAGTAATATGTGTGTGTGTCTGTATGTTGCTGCATTTCTGCATTTATTTTTAGCCCTTTATAAAAACCCCTGACAGGTCTGAAAGATGCTGTGGATTGTGAGTGGTGCCTGGCGGCATTGCACACATTGATGGTTGTCAGAATTTCCATGCTGAATCTCTGCTTTGGAAGGTTTATAACTCATCCTTCTATTCTTGGTGCTGCAGCTCTCATACCCTGGAAAAGATAAAATAAGATAACATAAAATAAGATAAAATAAAACCAAGGAACTTTTAAAAAACTACATTTTCCCAGCAGGTTTGTGGAAATCAGACTTGTTGGCCTAAACTGGAGCTTTTTCAAAGCAGACATTGAGTCTTGTCACTTTGTTTTTCAGCACCTAACTGCAAATGTGTGGCAGGTCTCTTTAATGTGTTTCATGTGGTCAGATGGAGAAGCTGTTTTGCATATCAGGCTGATACAGGCACTGGATGGTGTAAAATTTCAGGGAGCCAACAGCAGTTATCACCAGCTCTGAGGAAGCATAAAACCAGCTGAATTATGGCAGAGGTTGGGCAGTCTCCACATCTGGGGTGACACCAGTTGCAGAATCACAGGCTGAATGCTCCTCATATCAAGAACTAGAAGACAGATGAAACATACCATGATTTTTTTTTTTTATATTCATAAATAAAGGACATGTGTTTTGCTATTATGTGCTATCAGTAAGAGAAATGCTATCAGGCAGAGAAATCCAGTACAAAGCAGCAGTTGGTAATTTTAAGAAATACACAGTTGTCCCTTGTTAATTTTCTGGTCCATACTTTGGAGGTGTCTCCCATCCATGCAGTGCAAAGCAGGTGGCAGTTGTTAATCTGCACCTGGTGTAGTCCTACACACATCCTGACGATTCCTGATGCCCAGCCCTAAGAGATGGTGTTTGAGGAGATTTAATGGATTGCCTTGGTGCTGCTGAGAGTCCATAGCAAAGCAGGCAACAGCACACAGGAGCCTGACTCATGCAACAGTGCTAGGAGTGAGCTGCACCTCTTCTGAGAGTTTTCCCAGGTTTGGAAAGCTGTTGGAATGTTGGCTGCAAACAGTACATTTGTATGCAGGCAGTAGGCACTAATTCAAAACACCAAGGTAATGAACTTGAAACTGGGTCCTGGTGCACAGTGAGGAGCGTGGAGGGAACACTGGGAACTTGAGCTAAATCAAAGTCAGGGTAATTTCTCATGCAGCATTCAGCAGGCCATTCAAATTCAGATTATCTTTTGGCAGATGGGAATAACACTTATTCCCTGTCTCTCCAGGAAGGCTGTGAGGTGCAAAAGTACATGCAGAAGGCTTTGTATATGCAAGACCTCAGCTGGTTTTTCCCACTATATTAGTAGCTGTTTGAATGACAGATACAACATTTCCTTCAGGTCTTTTCTGACAGCTCCAGACCCTTATGGTTATGAAAACACTGCTATTACAGAATGGAAATAGTTGGGTTGCTTTTGTGCATATTGCATGGGTACACACGCAGTGTTGCTGACGACACAGAGTTTGAACTTTTATCCTGATTTGTCTTCCCCTGTAACCGGTTTTTCTGAAGCCACAAAGATTTTTAATTCTGGTTCCCTTGTTACATCTATTGCCTATCCCAGATCATGGCATTCCTGTAGGCTCTCAGCACCTCCTTAGTGGGAGGCAGGGGCCACTCTATTTTTTCAGGTGGGAATTTCAGGCAGGCAAAGCCAAAGATGGCTGGCCTGTTGTCAGACATAAAACTTCTTGGAGCAGGAACCCGAGGGCACTCTCTCCAAGTTTCCAGGCTGGTGCCTGAGCTGCTTGTCCAGGCTCAGTGTTATCTTTTGCTGCTGTTCTGATCCCATCTGGCTGTCAGCTGTACCAGCCAGTGCTCCGTGGGTATTTATGCTGCTGCCAGTTCTCATGTCTCAATTGGGAGTCATTTAATGCGGGTGACTGAGATTCCTGGAGAGGAAGAATTTGAAGTATCCCAGACAATGGTATGGCTGACATAGTTTTTGTTGTAAGACTATGTTTTTTAGCATTAATTTTAAGGATTGTTAACACACAGGAGTTTTTCTTGGGCTTCAGGATCTGTGGTTTCAGCTATAAAATAGGGTCAGAAGCACAACAGTCTTGGTATTGTAGATTAATATCCTTCCCACATAAATAAATAGAATATATGGGAGGAGAAACATATGTTTTAAAATTTCCAGTGATGATGAGATTTTAAGAAAGAGGCAGCACAACATTTTTCATGATGCATTTGGCATTTTTGAGGAAAAATTCCTGGTAAAGCCTGACTGCAAGTCAACAGAGTCAACATCTGAGTCAGAGAAGGGATGGGGGCACGTCTCCCTTAGTAAAAAACTAGATTGCCTGTTCTCTTACTCTCAATTACCCTAATTGGAAGTGGGGAGCTAATGACTATTGCTAAATGGTTTGAAACAAACAGCAGCACTGGGGGCAAAAAATAGCCATTATGAGCTGCAGTGTATCAACCACAGTGAATTTTTCACAGATTTGTAGATTTTAATGTTTGGGTGACTGGTCTGGCTGTTTGCTTAGTGTAGGGGAGAGGACCTTACCCAATAATTTCTGATGGGGTCAGTAAGTTCTGTTGGTACCAGTGTAGACCTTTTGAAATCACATCACAATAATTAGAAATTACCTCATCCCTAGACTGTGCTTTCCAATTGTTAATTAAAATAATACTTCTCATTGTTAGAGTGCTTGTGTTAGAAAAGCAGTCAGCTGTCAGAAACATTCCTTTTGGCAAGAACTCCCATGTCAGGGTTAAAATCCCTCTCACCTTTGTCTTGGGAAATGAAACAGAGCAAGAAGCAGACTCCCACTGCAGGTCAGTCTGTGGTGCAGGGATGCTGGAGGTGACATGAGATGACCCTGCATGGAATCACAGAGCAGCCAGGCCTGTCTGTGTCTGTGTTTGTGTGTCTGAGATGCCGTGGGTGTGTGATGCTGTGAGGTGGATGTGCTCTGCAGCCTTGCTGCTTGCTTAGAAATGCACCTGGTGTGATGGCAGGTGTGATTTGGGGTGATTTGGGGTGTGGAAGGAGTGCTTTGGAGAGTGCCAGGTGTGCACTAAGGCAGGAAAAGATCATCCTTTGATGATTTGGAGCTCCCGGGTACCTCACTGTAATGTGTTCAAGTGGTCAGAGATGTCCATCAGGAATCAGTGAGGATTATTCAGAGTTCTCTTTCATTTAATGCATGTCTTTATTGTTGATTTAGGACTGACTACTTTAATGAACTTTTCAGAAAGTCCTCAAATTTGGCATTTCTCTGGAAATGTCAGAGATGAAGCTCGTGAAGCTAGAAATAGGGAGAGCAAAGTGTAACTATATCCTAAGAAAATACAAGGCCACAGAGGGAAAAAGTAACCCAAAACTTCATTTCAGAGGAAAAAACCAGGTCAGAAGAGAGTTCTCATGACCTGCAAGGGTTGAAAAAAATGAATTTAATTTAATGTGAAAAATTAATATGAATTGGAAAAAAAGTGCATTTTTCTATGAGTATGCAGCAAAGATGATGGTCATTTCTGGTGTGTATTTGTACCTAAGTGCTTCCTTGAGCCTGGGCTGAAGTGGAAGAAAAGCAAGGTGGGAAAGAAAAAATGGTTTCAGTGGACTACACGATTTTTTAGCAGTGGCTAATTTTGGACACTTATTTCTGAAAAGTCTTGCCTGTAGCCTGGCATACATCAAACTGGTTCTGTCAGAAGCACTTTTCAACCTCAAACTTTGTTCCCAGGCTGAAAAACTGGCACGGCATTTACTCCAAAACCCAAACAAATAGCAGCAAGTTTCTGACCTCAGGCTTGCCTCTTGCTGCTAATCTGATTCCTTTTAAGGGTAGGAGCTGGTGGTTAACATGATTTCTAGTGAAACCCTGCTTGCAGCTGAATATGAGTGTTGGGTTCTGCTGGGGCTGTTGATAAAAATGTCATGGCCACACACCCATATCCAGTTTCTAGGAAAATCTTCCGATGTATCTTTTGCATTCTTTATATTGTCATGTGGCTGACCATCACTGACATGCCTTCTTAAGATTATGTTCATGTCCAATAAGAGCATGAAATTTAACTCTATCATGGGTCCCTACCAGTTAATTTTGACCCCTATCTTGGCCCCATCTGCTTTACCCCTTCCTGTCTAAAACAAATTTATCGTAAAGAGGAGCTCATTGCAGGCGAAAAGTGAGTCACAAATCCCGATTCTGAGTAATTCCTGAGCAGCTTCCTGCTGTGATCCAGCCCCAGAAGGTGGAGATGTCCTTTCAAAAAATAGCAGGGGTCTGCAGCAGACTTGGTCTGCCTCCTGCAAATGCTGCAGTGGGGTTGTTTTTCTTGCCTGTCATGTGTCAGCCAAACAGAGTTTATAACACAGAAATGAAAAGAGGAAAAACTGCCTAATCTTCTAATAAAATGTAGCCACCTCGAGGGAGGAGAGTGGCTTAATGCAGTAGACCTACAAGCCTCAGTCAGGGAATAATTTTGAAGGGATATGTAAATATTGCAGCTTTTCTGCATTTTGCTTTCTGACTTGCTCTGGGGGAATGCTTTTTTCCAACGTAAGTGGAATGATTGCTTTTATTCATCCAGAGACCAATGGGTTTGTGTTAATGGGTTGGCTATGAAGCCTGGCATGTTAGAGGACAGGGGAGTGGGTTTTGTGCTGGTTCTGGAGTGTGTTCACAGAACCACAGAACCATGGAATGTGTTGGGTTGGAAGGGACCCATCAGGCTCATCAAATGCATCTCGTGGCCCTGCACAGGACACACCAGGAGTCACACCATCTGCCTGAGACCATTATCCAGACTCTTCATGAACTCTGTCAGGCTTGGTGTTGTAACCACCATTTCCACCAGGCACTACATCACAGTTCTCTTAGGTGTTTTCTATTACTAACCTAAATGCATTAAAATGTCTTTTGGTGAGTATTTATTGCATAAAGTCTCCACTGGAGGTGTGTTGTTTGCTTTGTGATTGGCCACACAGCACCAGATTGGTTACACAATATTGTTTGTGCTTCCCGAGGGCTGGAGGACAGAGAGCTTCCACAGAGCTGCCTCTGGGGTGGATGTTGGGCCATGTGAATTTAAAATTTGGTTTCCTCGACTGACATTTACTTTCTGAGAACTCTGTTGCCCGTCAAACTCAATTGCTCAAATGTCTGTGGGAAACCAGTGGTGGTATGTGAATGTGGCCTCAGAAAATTCATTTTTAAAAATGTGAACCAGTGTTCACCAGAGGAAAAATGGAGCATTTCTGCATTATTTGGCTACAGTGAGTCTTAGAAGCTGATTTGGTCCTCTTTCTTTTTCTGTCACCAGATTTTCAAGACAAAGTTATATATGTATGGTATTACAAATCCCGAGCTCCCCAGAAAGATATTTAATCATCTAGACCATATAAGCAACGAACACTTCAGGCAAAAGCAAAGCTATTAATTTTGCACTTCAAAGTCACAGTTTTTTTCCCCCTACAAAGTGTATCTTATAGAGCTGCCACTCTCCACCCTCATTCTCAGTCTATCCATAGCTCTGGTGCTGCTATGTTCTTTATTCACAAATATGTGCAGAACCTGCATTAGCCCTGTACAGGATCCCCTCCTGTCACCCCTGCTGGGAGGAGGTGCTGGATTCCCTCAGGGGCACTTAGAGCCTTCTGTCCATGCTGCATGGCTGCTGTGAGCCTCCCAAGGGAGCTCTCCTGGGAGCAGCAGCTCCCTTGTGCTGTGTTAGTCCCAGGCTTCCCAGGAGGCAGCAATGCCAGCAGGGAAGCTGCTCTGGAGTACCTGCCATTGCTGTGTGTCAGGCTCTCTGCTATGCTACACTGACTTTTTGAGTTCTGAATTTCTGCCTTCTTTGTACTTTGCCCATTTGCAGTCCAGTCAAGCATGGTCTCATTCCTGTGAGCATACAGTGCTTTTGTTCTTTGGGTTTGGGTCTTCCTAATTCCTTGGCCTCAGTGATGTTTCATGAAAAAGTGTTTGAAGGGGGATTGTGCAGGCTGTCATCTTCTTACCTATTCTCTTCTAACATTCTGAAACACTATCAGCATTGCATTTGCTTGAGTATTGTCTTGCCCACATATTCTGAAAGAGGAAACAACTTACTTCACCCATGTCCTCTAAATCAGCCATTACTTTTAAGTCTCTCCCTCAATTTCTCCCTCAGATTTCTCTTAGCCTGCTCAGCTGTCCCACTGTGCTGTTCGTGGAGAAGAACTCAGAGGCATGACCTTGTCTCAGTTCAATACTTTATTAGTTTTGGCATTCTATGTATTTTTAAATATAGGTTTTCCTTTTATAGGATTAAGTATTTCTGTTTTAAAGGCTTGTTGAAACATGTTTCTCTGTCTTCCTATCTCAGGCTCAGCAGCTGATCAGCACAAGGCTGTAGATCAGAAGTGACTTCTGGCTCTTTCAGACACCAGCTAGAGGAGGAAATGGTTTGAGGTGTGCTGACCAAGGAGATTACTGGGGTTGGCACTTCTGTCAAAGGTTGGTTCCAGCTATTGCTGGAGAATTCACAGTTCTGAGAGCCTGAGCAGTCCCAGCAGGTAAAATTGGAGAAAAGAGGGGTAAGAACAGAATGAAAAGCTCTCACATTTCCTCTTTTCTCCTTCTCAGAGCATTGTCTTTGTAATGCTGCCATTTAAAGATTGAATACCTACCCAGGGACTGAAATTAATATGTAATGTTGATTCAAGTTGCTACTATAAGATTGTCTACCCATCCATCTGGTGCAGAGCAATATATACTAAATCTGTCTGAAAGGACAGGCCAGCCTGAAGTAAATGTGCTTCTTTCATGGTGTGACAGCCTGGCCAGCCTTGACAGTGGGTTCCAAGAATCACAAGTTTATGGTCTGTCAGCTAGTACAAACATCCATTCATCAAATATCCTCCACTTGTTATACCTAGACGACAGAACCGTGGAGGCATTAAGAAATGGGTGGCAGAGGGAAATTATCTGCTTTGATACATTCAGTCTCTAGGATGAGAGAGATCTTGTACTCCCCTGGTCTCAAAGATCATCAAAACCCCACCCCTGAACATGGTTGGATCACAGAGCTCTGAGACACAGAGGAGATCCTTGTCCTCTTTTTTCAGCTCTACCATGCCCTCCAGCAGAAACTGTAGCTCAGAGCTTTTAAAGTTTGGGCTATTGCTTGTTTTAAACCACAAATTGTTTGTTAAACAAGGTCTGTGTTCGTGCTTGAGTGCCTTTACTGAACATTAATGTCACTCAGTGGCCAAGTGTTCCTCGGGGAATGCTTCTGGCTTGCCCATTGCCTGTCTCTCGCAGCAAGGTGGCACCCTAAGGGACAGGCATGCTCATTTTAACTCATGCCAGTTAAAAACCCAGGGTCTGCAGGACCAGTCCTGCCTTCTTGCTGCATTGTGGGGCTGTGACTGCTCAGGTGGCATCCTCACTCCTGAGCTGGAAACCTCCAAACCACAGCTCCCCAATCTTAAAGGGTGCCTGTAGTTTCTAATGCAGTTAAAGGTCCTTGTCCCAGTGTCCTCATTCAATTCTGGATTCATTCTTTATGTCCCCTCTCAGGCTCCTTGCTGGGACCTGGTACTTTACTGATCTCCAGCTTCCCAGCCTGCAGGGTCCCATGGGATGGCAGATTATGTGGAGAAAGTGAAGAAGGGCACTTCCTTTGGGTGGACAGGGGAATCCAAGGCCTGTGAAAGCTGGAAAGTGGGAGAGCAAATGATAAATTTCAGAGGAAGGACGCAGCTGAGGGAAGAAAAGGAATTTTTTTGGGCTGGGCAAATACATCTTAAGAGATTTGAGTACCTACAGGAAAACTTCAGAAATGGTTAGCAGTGGATTCTCTCAAGGCCTTGTCTCTTAAAAGGACTTGAGGGCTCGGTTACTGCATGGACAATCAATCAGATGCCTGGGGGACAGGTTTTGCTTCCCTCTTCCTGCTGAGTTGGCTTCACATCACGGGTCTCCTCTCCGGGTACAGAGGTGTGTTAGGATATGCAAGGAGATGTAGGGAGTGTTTGCAAGAGGATGGAAGCTCTGTTCCCTGACCAGCTCCTCCTTCCTTGATAATGCAGAGGCAGGCAGGGGAGCTGGGGGGGCGTTCCTGTTATCCAGTCAATCAATCATTTCCCTATGTTTATTATTTATCTCCCTGGCCAAGCCCTCCCCTCATTCCTACCACTCTGGGCAATGGGAATTTTTGTGATCTCTGAGCAGCAGAGGCTGGTGGGCAGCCTGTTCTCTGCTAGCAGCTCATCCTCAGCCACGTGAGAGGAGAAACATCCACAAGGAGAGATGGAGTTAGAACTTTATTAGGAGAAACCTAGACACGACTGACTAAAATCTCATGTTAAGGAAAACACACAGGTCTTTTCAGGATTAAAAAATACAAATATATAAAAACTTACAAACAAAAACACTGTTTCCCTCGTCTGAGTGTGAATGTGTATTTAAATGCACAGGGAGCTGTACCAAAGCTGTGTATCAGGAGCAGGGATTCACTTTCAGTGGCCCAAAGAGAGGGAATGGCTCAGTTCCCTCATCAGCTGGTCCCAGGCCATTCGCTTGTGCAGTCCAGTGTTGGGAAGCTGTGGCCTGTGTCTGGAAGAGCAGTGCAGGGTAAACAACAGGGAGCAGCGTGGCTCTGTTTAGCAGATCTTTCCCAGAGGGATGTCAGCTCTGCACTGAGAAAATGTATCTTGAGTGGGAGCTGCCTGCAGACCTCACCCGCCAGATTCACAGTGCAGCCTCGGGCCACAGTGGTTGCTCTGAGAGGTTACAGTGGTGGAAAGACCTGGTCCATGGTGATTTCTGGCACCGTGTGTGCTAGGGATGGAGTGGAGAGGATGGCCTGGTGGCAGAGCAGAGACTTGCTGTGGGGACAAATAACTTGACCTGTGCTGGCTGGCAAGCTTGAGAGAGCAGGCAGGAGCTGAATGACGTGCAGGACCTGAGCAGGGCTCTTTCTGCTTGCGGAGGATGCTGAAGCATTTTGGTAGGTTGGTGAGAAGACACAGGCCGTACCTCTTCTGCAGATAAACAGAGGATGCTTTTCTCTCAAGTGGGCAGCTGGTAGCACCCTTTCAGCAGAATTCAGGTTGCTTGAAAGATGGGTTTCAAAAAGGGGAAAACCACTTTGTTTCTACATGATACCCGTGAGATATCTGTTCTCACTGGAGAGTCTCTATTTCTGTTAATAGATGTCTTGCTTAGGATTAATGACATAAGTATATTGGGAAATTTTCCCAGTCTTCATCAACTGGTCATCTAAGTGATTTCCCTGGGGCCAGTCTGCTGCCGCTGACTTAGGAATGAGGAAGGGATTCCAATGTTAGACATGAGGCAGCTGTGCACTGGGGACCACAGATGTCCTTATTTACGGGGAAGAGTTGTTCTATACACAGTGTCAAAAAATTCAAGTAGGATCTATTGTGTAGGTAACCTGGTATAAAATATCTGGGCTCAGGTAGAGAAAGGGAGGATTATAAAGAGCCAAAATGAAGAGATGAGAAAATCTTTCTTTCAGAAAGCTGACTGGTGTGTTTCTGCAGGTGAGAGAAGCTTCTGCTCAGTACAACCGCCAAGCTGATGTTGCAAACATTGAATAGAGACCACAGGAGATTTAGAGGTCCAGTCAGTCTGTTGAATACAGAGTCACAGTGGATACCCACTGGGCAGGAGTCTGCTGGCCTGTGCTCCACCAGGCTACGGGTGGGGAGTCTATTGGTGTCTCTCTTCAGTGCCTGTGGCTGCCCCTGCCTTGAGCTGTTAGAGGTGCTGTTTGGAAAGGATAGAGGATATTAAGACAGGGAGGTTAGGGGTGAGAGTTTGGAGTCCACTTTGCCAAAGTTTTACTGAGCACTAGGACAGCTCCTTCTCCTCATCCCTGCTGGGGACAGGTCACACAGACAAATCATCCGACCTAGCCTTGCTGCTGGCACGGCTGGCCTTGCTGAACCGGCGTTTCTCGTTGAAGTAGTTCTCGGGGAAGGCAGGTGCTGCACATTCACTGGCCGCCTCTGGACTCTCCACGTAGCTGGACTTAATGAAGGGCCCTTCCGCAGCAGCATCCTCCTGGCCGTGGACCCTCTCGGTGGCGAAGTTGGCGGTGTTCTGCTGGGAGGCCATCTTGTTGCTGAAGGGGCTGATGAACTTCCCGTTGGGACTGGACAAGCACTGGTTAAAATCCGGCGGCGGGGTGTACATCTGTGCCCTCTCTGCCTGCGGGGCAGACTCCAGCCTGCCGGGGGCTGTGCTGGGGCTGGCTTTGTAGGACCGGGAGCACCTCTCCTTGGCTTTCTTCCAGCCCAAGTGGTACAACTCGGCCAGGCTGAGGAAGAGGGAGAGCACTGCCACGGCCAGCATGAAGACGATGAACACGTTCTTCTCGGTGGGGCGGGACACGTAGCAGTTGACGGGGTGGGGGCACGGTGCCCGCTGGCAGATGTACAGGGTCTCCAGGAAGATCCCGTACAGGACGTACTGCCCCACGATGAAGGCCACTTCCATGGCAGTTCGAATCAAAATGCTGTAGACGTAAGTGTTGAGCAGGCTGCCCCTGAGTATGATTTGGCCTCCTGCTTCATCCCAGCCAGACAGCTTAGTCTCTTTCTCTGCCACGGAGCACTTCTGCTGGTAGTACGTGTCACCACCGTTTTTGTTCTCTCGGGCCTCTATTTCTGCCTCCTTCATCTTCCTCTTCTCCTCCATGCGCACCGTGTGCATGGCATGGCCCATGTACACCAGGGACGGGGTGGAGACGAAGATGATCTGGAGGACCCAAAAGCGGACGTGGGAGATGGGGAAGGCCTTGTCGTAGCAGACGTTCTCGCAGCCGGGCTGCTGGGTGTCGCACATGAAGTCCGACTGCTCGTCCCCCCAGGAGGACTCGGCGGCTGTTCCCAGCACCAGCATCCGGAAGATGAAGAGCACGGTCAGCCAGACTTTCCCCACCACTGTGGAGTGCTTGTGGACCTTCTCAAGGAAGTCTCCCAGGAAACTCCACTCCCCCATTTCTGCTCACCAGGAGGGGTGAGAAGTCTTGAGAGCTGAGCGCAAGCCTCTGTTGGGAGAAAACAGAGAGTGGTTCTAAGGAGGGTTAGGAAATGCCCAGCTGGTAATGGATGGAGTGAAATGGGTCTTTTTTTTTTTGTTGTTGTTTTGTATCAGAGGTAATGTTTTCATTTGATCTGAAATGAACGAGGTCTGGTTTGCTGCAAACTTTGTTTCACATCCACTGGAAACCTTGTGTTGTGTTCAGGATTGTTTTTTTCTTTTAAAACTCAGACACTGAAACAAAAAGTGATCTTCTTTTACATCTACAGCCTGCTAAATGAGTTCCCAAAACCTTTGAGTGTGAGCCAGATTTATTTTTGATTCAGAAAGTCCTTTCACTGTGATCTGCATATTGCCTCCTCTGTGGACTGGGTAGTTAAAGCAGCATTCATCTGTCCGTAGACTGCGCTCTGGAAAATCCTTAGTGGGCTGATCCCCTGGGAGATAAGACTGGAATCTACAGCCTGGCCTGAGCAGTGGCACTGTCAGATGTTGCCTTTGTGTTATACCTGCACCACCACCTGGAATGTGAAATGCTGGCAGCTCTGGGTTTCCTTTAGGAGCTCAGTGCCACCACTGAAGTGCAGAGAAAACCTTTCTCTTGCCCACCTGCTCCCTGTCCCTAGGTTTTGCTTTGGGTTTGCAGCGTTACCAGATGCAAGTGTCTCATTTACAAGCTGCAAATGTTTAGGGGAGTGTAAAGACTTTGGTGAGCTGTGCCAGTCCTGGAAACCTAATCTGCTGCCACCCTGTCATGCCTCTCTGAAAGGGAACTGCTGCAGAATCTAAATGGTGAGACTTGCTCCTTCTGCTTTTCTTAAATTCTGAGGAAAAATTCACGTTCAAATGAAACAGACAAAGAAAAAAGCCTCCTTTGAAGAGCCTCCCGAGGACCAGCAACTCCTGGGAAGTGCTGTTGGTAGGTGGTCTGATGACAGGAAAGGTTTGCTGGACTGGGAGTAAGATTGCAAAGTGGAGATGCAGGAGAGCCTGCTTCAGTTTCGTTTCTGACTCTGACTGACTGTTTCTGGCCAAGTCACTTAACCTGATGGATAAAAAGAGAGCAGTGGGTTTAATCCATCTTTTGTGGGGCCCTGTGGGAGTGCTTGAGCAATCATTTGATCCAGTTATGCTCACCATACTTACCTTCCCAAGGCACTGCAAAGCTCTCCCTGGTGAGAGTTAAGGGCTGGGTGCTATAAAGTGTGCACTATTACCTTGGAGCTAATGTCCTCCCACAGTCATTCTTTTAGAAAATAGCATTTTAATAAGTAAATGTAAAAATAATCATCATAATGAAATATTAAAAGCACTAGTCAAGGTAAATCCCAAAGCCACAGGGACCAAATTGTTAACTCTCCTTTATTGTTCCTTGTCCTGTCTTTAGGAGCCAATTATTTTTATAGTGCAAAGAACATTTGTGGAGAGCAGACACTGTTAAAAGCTGAAAATTTACTGTAGCAATATTGTGTAGATTGCCTGTGAGCAAAAGCTGGAGAACAGATACACTTGTTGAGGGAAAAATATCCCCTCCTCTAGTTATAAGAGTGATATAATTTAATGTAGCAGTACACACCATAATTCATAGCATTGTTTGTTCCTGTGCTGTGTCCAGCTGCAAGGATGGATGGAACAAAGATCAAAAGTCGAACCATCAAATTCCTGGTGCTGCTGGGGGCTGCCCTGAGGAAGGAGAGGATTGCCCAGGTATGGAGACAGGGCAGTGGCCACTTGCTACCCCACCACCTGTCAGAAGCCATGTGAGCAGGGAGATGGGACATACAGGAAGCAAAGGATGGACTTTGGTGCTTTCCTGCCCTGGCAGGCGTGCTGCAGTCATGCTGATGGATGTCCTGGTGGCTGCTTGGCACATGCAGGAGCCTTGATCTGCTGCCAGCCCAGAGCTGGAGGAGCGGTAACACAGAAAATCAGCTGGTCTTTCTGACTCCTCTCATCTGCACTCATGAAAACTGGTGAATGTGTGGGTCTGTCTTACCTTCCAGAATGGCTTTGGTGCAGTTACTACATTCTGGAGAAACTAGCATATGGCTTCATTCCAGGAGCACCAGGGGATTAAACACAGGCAGATAAATCAGTGATGGGAAATATTTACAGACTGTGGCACTGAAATGAGTGTGTTTGCTTTTTTTTTTCCCCAGAGTGCAGAAAGGCAAGCAGCTACCTACAGCTCTGTGTTATGTGTCCCCAACACCACTATGCTGTAGCACAGCTGTATGTGTGGAATATTCCTTACAAGGCAGCATGAACAGTGGTGGGTGTCCTCACATTTCCAGGTGAGTTTATGTTGTTCACACATGCCTTTTTTTTTTTTCACCTTGCTTGGTAATGTAAATATGAACACAGTTCTCCCTGGATGTGCAAAGGCTGAGTTTTTTCTTACTGCTGTAGGGAAGTACAATCACAAACTGAGCCCCCCCTTCCCATTTATTCTATTGTGTGCAGGTTGTTTGGGACTTTACAACAGCTTGTTTTCCCCAGGGAAGGCTTCTAAGCCTAGACATTTGCAGATTGTAAAAATCTGGATGTGCAGGACACAAAGTAAAGCAAACATAAGCGCAAAAGGAACCCAGAAATAAAAAATGTTAATGGATGCGAGAAGAACAGCAATTTACCTGTCTCACACATGCACAGAATACTTCAAGAAGCTGTAAATCAGAAGGATCTGAGGCTGGCAGTCACGAGGCTTAGGCTAGATAATAGGGGCGTTTCCTCTGCCCTCCCTTGCACAGCCTGTCTAAAGAAGGGACAGCCGGAGGTGCCTCCTGATCATCTCGCTACAGCCCTGTAGAGAGCTGAGGTGGCTGCTGCAAGGGCGTAGGTGGCCACAGGGGAACAGATTTGGAAACCAACAGAAGGAGTTTCCCTCCTAGAGCAGCATTTTTGGCTTAGACATTTGATACTTATTATTAGCGAGCTATTTTTGCAGTGCCCGATCAAGGGTCTTTGAGAGCATCTAGTTCTCTCCTGCCAGCAAGAAAAGAAGGATTGTCACCTCCTGACAGCTTTTCCTGGCTGTGCAGAGCTGCCCCTGACCTAGCCCTTCTCCTCATAGCTTTACTATTCTTGGGAATTTTCCATATAGTTCCTTTTCCTCATTCCCAGACTACTGTTGCCCTCACATGCTTTGACCTCTCAGCAAGTGAGCATCTGCAGCCTTTAAAATTCCTAGTTTGGGCTCAGTTGGACAGATCTTGTCTAACTCTGGTGTGGCTGGGCAAAAAACAGCTCTGGGTATTCTTGTGGTACTCAAATACTTCTACCAGTACTCAGCACCTGGTGGAAGACCAGCAGCAGGGTCATGCATATTCATGAGCAGTCGTGGGCCATGCCACTGCCCTTCCATGCTTTTGGCTGGCAGCTTTCTGCTGGATCCACACGGGAGCTGGGCACTGTCACGGGATCCTGGCACCGGGGGACGCGTGTGTGACACAGACCAGTGCAGCTTGGCACAAACCCAGCAACGGGGCCAGCCCGGCTCAATCATCACCTGGAGCGCCACTGAAGCCGAGGAAAACTCAGCATCACCCCACAGGCCAAGCCTGGAGTCTGCTCAGCTCCAGGCTGCCTTGTGACTGCCAAATTCCACGATAAAAATACCCCAGTGGGGACGGCACCTGCTAGTACGCCAGGCTGGCTCGCCAGCTAGGGGCTGCTCTCTGCCATTCCTTTTTTGCACTGCCTTTATCTGCGGGAGGGGAAGTGTCTGTTGCCCGCTGAGGAGTTTTGCCCATCCTCTTGGTGATGCCACGTGCTCTGAAGGACGGGCGAGCATTTCACATCACTGCTGCTCGCTCCAGCCAGCACGCTCGTTCTGGTTGGAACTAGCCAGGGCTCTGATGAACAGCTAGCAAACCCACACCAGAGAGCCAGGAGGGCTGTTCCTGTGCAATCATCTTTATATGAGTTTATTTCCCTGGGGGTTGCTAGGAAGAAAGTTTTCCCCTCTTTAGAAGACAGGCGAGGCTATCAGCAGTGATATAAATAGCTGAGCTCAACACTTCAAGCTAGCTTTTCCCACAAGGAAGGTGACAGGAGGTCGCCATCTCTGCGGGATGGTTCTAAAATAAAGTGGAGAGTCTGATTATTACACTGTTTCTGCTCTCCCTTGCTGGGCTCACCTCTTCCCCGTGGCAGATCCCAGGGGCACCTGGAGAGGCTCTCCGAGGAAGGCTCCTTTGTGTGAGGCAGGCACAGTTCCCAGGGAGGGGGAAAGTATCCGATTCAAAGCCATTGTGTTTTTGCCCAATCTCTGTGTGTGATTTGCTCACTCAGGTACAAATGTCTGTCTCTGGGAATTAATGAGATTTCACAACGAAGTGGAGGGCCCAGCATGTTTTAAGAAGCTCACACTCCGAACACGTGGCTGTGTGTGGAGGCCATGCAAGGAGTGCATCCCTTCCAAGCTACTGAGTGAGGAGGCAGCTGTCCCCTCTGGGTACTGGGCATGTGAGCAGTGGCATTGCAGTGGGGCATCCAGGCCAGCTGGTCAGTGCCTAGGAACTGCTCGTGGCTTTCCTCCCTCCAGCTGTGTTATCTCATACAGGTCCAGGCCAGCACCTGGCACAGCAGATCACGGTGGGTGTCTGGGCAAAGATCTTTGCCATGTGCTGACACTTTTTAGGCTGAACCCAGACAGGAGTGGAGCCCACACTGCCCAACTGTGCACTTGGGAAGGTCACTTCAAGCTCTGCACTGGAGGTTGGTTAATGCTACTTAAGGATCTCCAGCCCCTTATTAGTAGCCTCAGCATCCCATGCAGTGCAGATGTTGTCACCTCTGTCTTGCAGATGGTGATCACTGGGGTACAGAAGGGACTAACTGCTTGTTTGAGGTCACTGTGTTAGAGACAGCTCAGGGGTTGTGACTTTAAAGATTGTGTCCTTTTTTCTATGCAGCACTGCATAGCAGGTACACCTAGCAGAACCACAGATGTTTGGTTTTGTTTTGCATTTTGGGGACACGTGGCTCACAACATTAAATGATGAATAGAGTTAGAAATGCACTGTGCAGAGTGGGTGCAGTGCTTTGGATTACAGATGATTTGTGATGCTAAAGCCCACCTCAACAGGGATCTTTTTGTTCAGAGTATACTACCATCCTTCCTATGGGTATGCAAGAGACAAACAACAACCTATTAGGCATTTTTGTCCAAACATTATCTCTCTAGCCTCATATATACATGCATATGCTTATGGTAAGTTTCAGGCCAGTTCTTTAACCAAATTTGTAACTCTGATCTTCACATGAGCCTGGAATAAATAGCTTTGTAGTACTTATGCTTTTAAAGAAAAATAGTTGACGTTTGCATTGGTTCCATTCTACTTCCTTGGGTTCAAAGTCCTGTGTTGAGCCAGTATCAGAGTGACTTTGACTTTAGAGCTGAAATATCATGGGAGAAGGACAGCTCTGTGTTAACAGCTCTTGTCTTAGAAGACAGACATCCAGTGTTTCTTATCTTTCTGCTCCTCCCAAGTTCACTGTAATTTCTGGAAGGGCCATCCTGGTATCCAGACCACTGGCCCTACTTGTAGTTGCAGACAGCTTGCTATTCCTTGACGAGGTGTGCCTTCCCCCTCCTCTCCAAATGTGGAAAATCTCAGAGTTCACGAAAAAGAGAGTGGGTGAGAAGATAAGGGAACTGAATGACCTGTCACCTCCTACACACAGGCACACAACCCTGATGCACACAGGGACACAGACAGAGAGGAATCACTCAACACCTTCAAGTGTGTACATCAGGGATGTGTTACATGCACAGATGATAATAATATGTAGAATATTTTCATCTGAAGTGATGGTGGAAGCTGCAGACTCCCAGTCAGTTGAATTTTTATTAGTTGTCTGTCCAGAAAATCTAATGCTGTTCCTCCCCCTGTGCTTTCATATATCCAAATATTAGGCCCAAGCTCTGCCTGATGTAGTCTCAAGAGACTAAGAACAGAAGACACCTTGAACTCAGATGAGTCAAGCTGAGGGATGAGTTTATCCCACTGTCTTTAAAAAGCTAGCATCAAATAGTTACATGATAGTGGTATCCAGGCTTACACTTAAAATGCAGGAGCATCTTCTAATTCTCTTGGGATTCTCTCTTTTCCTTAGAGAAATGTGGGTCCCTAGAGACAACAACAGATGTGACAAAACTGGACTTGGGATAAACTAAATGCAGGGCCACTGTGCTTTTTGCTAGGAAAAAAACCCCCATAAATTCTCTCTGTAATGTAAATGCTGGAAACTTGATGCTCTTTCGAGTATCTTTCCCTTTGCAGAGAGAAGCTGACCTGTATGAATTTGCAGATGATACTAGATTGGGCAAAATAGAGGTGAGGAGATAGCCAAGGAGGGCATAAGGAGCTCTGGGAAAAAAAAAACAAGCTGTGAAACTTGGGGGCTGCTGTAGTAAAAGCTGTCCCTGAGCTCTGCTGAGAGAAGCTGATGTCAAGCACTGCTCAGTCTGTGGGGAAGGCTGGTGTAAGGAGATGTGCAGTGATGGCAGCCTCACACTGGGCACAATAGAGCAGCAATTAAACCTGCCCATCTGATTATAGGCTGCTTCACAGACTGCATGAGATGCAACTTGTTGAAGTAAAACAGACTGGAGAGGTAATGGGAGAAGGGGAGATCTCTCATTCAGACTTTTCCCATCCTTTCTTCCTTCCTCTCACCCCAAAACCTCCCTGCCTATCAGATCCCTCCCTGCCATGGTTTCCCTACAGTCAAGCTCTCCCAGAGAGCATTGCCTCAGTTTTTTGGCAGTTTTGACCAGCTAACCCTCTACAGCACCCAAATTGCTAATTCTTTCAGCCTTAGAAATGGGAAATTTTCAGCAACTCTTTCCCACTTATTAGTACCTTGTCAAATCTCATTTCTTCCTTCTTTCCAAAAATCTGTAGGATTCTTTTCACACTCCAGCCTCATTGCTGTATCCTTGCCTCAGTCTGACTATGTGAGTGGATTATTTTTTGTACTCAGTGTATGCACTATATATATATATATATATATACAAAAATACACCCCCCTTTGAGACCAACTAATACTTAATTGGCAAAGCCCAGCAGTAGGGAGTTAGGAAATGCTGGGGTTACTGTTCTCAGTAATCTTAATTCAATCTCTTTGTGCCTGTGCCTCTTAGAGTCCTTAACCACATCCTCACATTGTCACCTCATTCTTTGCACAGGATGCCTGCCTTGTTCTGTGCCAGCCTGGCGGGGGCTTTCTTGAACAGCAGCTATTCAATGTTTTGTTTTCTTCTCATTGTTCAGTGGGTGGCCTGTGCCTCATTTACTGTACATTATTCAAGTCCAGCTCTAAAGACAGAATTATTAGTTTCCTCATGGGTTTTCCTATGGCTTTCATCACAACAGTATCTGATCGCTTCACAATTATAAATCTACTTGCTTTCATTACCACCCAGAGGTGAGGAGATGATATTAGATCAGCCAAGGAACTAAGGCAGCGAGAGATTAAGATAAAAACTATTCATTAATTTTGGAAGCTCTTTGGTGATGTGGCTAATCTGTTGGTGGTTTTTTTTCCAGTGTACTTAGCAGTGCATAATGTGTATTCAAAGCAGAGCTCTGTCTGGTTTGTGCTGGAGTGGGAGAGTTTATCACTTCCACCAGTTGTGCCACATGTAGAAGTCAAATATCCAAAAGACAAGAAATGGGCATTTGTGGGGAAACTTGCCTCATCATGACAGAGGAAATTGGACTAAGAAACAAGAATTAACCCCAGTCCTCTCGGGTAGCTTTGTCTGACTACAAACTGGAGACAGTTTTTCTCCCACCCCACTATTCCCTCCTTTCTTCACCAGACATCTGAGTGCAGCAGAAGACCCTGGAGCTCTGCAGGCTTGCCAGACTGCTTCACTTTCCAAGCAACCCTGTGCCCTGACCAAGGCATCTGTCAGCTTTTCTGCTTCTAAGGGAGAACAGTTTCATATGGGAATTCTCAGCCATTCTCAAAGCATGTCCGTAATGACATAAAAAATGGAGAAAGGCAGAAATATAAGTGTAAACCCTGTAGTTCTTACATTAAACCCCCCTGACCTCTCTTCAAAGATACACTAGAGAGACTTAAAAGAGTGTATCTCTCTGCTCATTGCATGCTGTGTGGCATGAATATATCTTTGTTTCAGGGAAGAGCTAGCATGCTGAGTATTGTTCACAGAGATCTCTCTGTTGCTTATCAATCGCAATAAAATTAATTCCCCCGCACCCTTATGAATTCCTAGCCCAAATATTGAAGTCTCTCTGTTGTCTTCTGGGAATTATTTCTAATTTTAAGCCTCTATCCTTGTGCCTCATACAGCAGCACCCAAAGCATGGAGCAGTCTCCAAACTGTGCTCCCTAATGACATAGGGAGTGCTGAATTACTCATTCCTCCTTGTCTGCTTTCAGTGCTGCAAGATAAATCAGAAAATGGGCAAATGTGTGCAGAATCTATGAAATCTGTCTGAAGGTCAAAAAAAGAAGAGAGGCTAAGGTATGAAGTCCTGTATTTTCTGTCAGAGTTTGAATTTTTTAATGCCCATATAGTACTAAAAATATTGTGATAATATATACTGTTGAGTGGAAAAAAAAAAACCAACCAACCCTAAATACTTATAGTAACAGGAATACTTAACATAGTTCCCAAGCGACCAGAGCCTGATGAGTATTTTAAACCCTGAAGCCTCAGGAATTCTACTAAAGTACTGCTCTGCTCCCAAGGAAAAGGGGAACAAAGTCAGAAATGTGTGCTTGTCTCAGAGTAGATTTTGAAAATACCAGCAAATGCAGAATTTTTTGGCTCCTGATAGAAATACTGAATACTGTGAGGCTTCTGAATAACTCTTTAAGCCTCTCCTAGCTGCACACACATGTGCACACATATGTTACGTGCATGAAGTTCTTTAAAGAGAGGAAAACTTAGGCAGCAGTAGAGGAAAACTCTCACACACTGCTTCACCAAGGAATTTTGATGGGTTTGTTACAATGGAGGGAGAGTTCAATGCCTACAGCTCATTCAGCACAAGACTTTTTTAATGGAGGTTTGTCCAGAAAAGCCACTTATATAATCCTCTAAAGGTTGTTAGGGTACTTGAGGGACAGGGGCACTGCCTCAGTTTACCTGAGTTAAAACCAGAATGCCACAAAGCTCCTTAGACATGACAAATGGGCAGCCAAACGACCCTTCAGGAAATCAAAGGAGCCACCACAGACCTGAGGTGGCAATTAGTCAGCAGCCTTTACACTCAGTGAGATTGCTTCCTTCCAGGTGGGTGTGTGTCCGGGGGTACCGTGTTCTCAAGGTGGGCTATTCTTTGAAAAAGCAGCGTTAAATCATGGAAATGTAATTGCATAATTATTCCAAGTACAAAAAAGGGGGAAAAAAGTTAAGAAGGCAAATAAAAGGAGTCAGCAGCTGCTGGTGTGGGAGAGGACATTTGTCCCTTCAGGTCTGTGTGGCTCCTTGCTGAGGCTGCCACGGGCAGTGTCAGGATGGAGGAGAAAGGCATTCATTCCCTGGCGGCGCGCACAGGACGTGTGACTGCAAAATACCAGCAAGGCACTTGTCTGCACTGGAGTTACATTCCCAGGCTCCATGTCACAGACCAGCCAGGACACAATACTCCCTAGGAAAAGAAACTGCAGTATTTTGAAAGCGTCCTGCACGCTTCAGAATATAGGTGGATAATGCAGACGCTTGATAAAGTGTTTATACCCCGAGAGCCTCTCCTAGGTAAGAGCTCCCTTCACCACTGTCCCCCGAGCAGCTTGACAGCATGCTGAAATGGGATCTGACAGAAATGACAATTTGCACTTTATACTGTCTGAGGGAGGATGTTTGGGGCTCTTACCGTGCTTTCCTATACATTGGAATCTATTGGTATCTATGTTCATTGCAGGGAAGTTACTTGTTATTTCTGTAGCTGCCTGTGGCAAAACAGTTTAATTTTTAAAATGTCCCAAGCCCACCATGTTACTAGTGGGAATGTTTTGAAGAGAAAATGAAATAAAAAGTAAATTTCTTAAGTTATTTTTGGCCATCTTTTCCTGCCTCTCCAAATCCTTTTCCCCCCTCATACTGCTTTCCCCTTGAATGTAATAACTTGATCTACCATCGGCACTTCTGCAGTTCTATTATTTCCCCCTCATAGTCGCTTACCTGATTTCCAGTGTCTTGTCTTCAGTCTCCTTTCCTTCCTTCAGCACTTCCCCTTTTTGTAATGAAGTTGAACTCCTTCTTCTCCTCAGTTGCTTCGTTTTATTACTTTAATATGGTTCTCTCTCTCTCTCTCTCTCTTCCTCTCTTTCTCTCCACCCCCTTTCTGTGTCACTTTCTCTCTTCCCCACTGCCTCTCCGCCTTTCCCCCTCTTCTTTCTTCACCTACTTTTCTCGTCTCTCCCACCCCCTCCAGACAAATCTTTCTATTTTCAAACCTGGTTTCCTGTTGTTTTTCCTTTAAAGACCATGGATCTCAGTCCTCCCTCTCCATTCTCAGCCTCTCCCTGTGCCACCCTCCTCATGCCGACAGGATGCATTCGCTGCCGGCTTCGCGCAGTCCCTTCCAGTCACTGCTGCTACTGTTCCTTTGCACATCTTCCCACAGATAACATTCCATGGTCTAAGCCTTCCCCAAATGAAAAGAGACAGCATTGCCCCACAGTTACATCAGCCAGACCCTGGAAAGCTTTTTCCATGCAAGACAAAAGATAGTTCAACCAACAAGGGACGTATTTCTGACTTGTTCAAGCTTAATCTGGCAAAGCAGAGTTCATGTGGAGCAGGGTCTTCCACCACTTCAAATCACATAGAACTTGCTCTGCTGGCTTGGACCAGGGGCCCAGCAAAGCTGCAGCCTTGTCCTAAAGGGCACCAAATGCTTCCCAGAGACTTTTTACATGTCCTTGTACTGATAAATAACCTGTCTGTCAAGAGAGGTGTTTTTTGTCACGCCACCCTACCTCCACCTCCCCGCACACACAGACGCACGAGCATTTGGGCCTCTCTTAAAAATGTTTTTGACATACCAAGTGTCTGAAGGTCTTGTATTTCATGTATGTGTCAAACTGAGCCTCTGAGGCCTGCACATCAGAAATGGCCCAGCGAGGAGGCAGAATCAGAGATGCCTTCTGGCTTTGATAAAGGTCTCAAAGAACCGGAGGCAGGAGAGCGAGATTTGCACAGAAGACTCTGCTGACCTGAGAAAGACTTGCTGCACAAAAGCTTCGGTGGTTATCCATCCAGCAATCCCTCACAGGTATCTCCCAGCCAGAACATTGCCTGGTGGTCTCTCTGCATCAGTGAGTGCAGATCATGAAACAAAAGCAGTCCAGGGACTAAAACACAATGCTGGCAACTCTTCTAATAGTTTTTCTCCCACTAATTTAACACCTCGTTTAGTCACAAGATTGAAAGCCAGTCTACAAAGGGACAGTGCTGTGCAGAGGCTACCTCTGGAAGCATGTCCTGTGTGGACACTGTCACTTTGAAGTTAGGAGTGCAACTCTTTTTCAGGAGGGCTGTGTCCTCACTGGTGTTTAGTGCAGGATGCAGGACAAAGAGTGCACAGTAAATTCCCACAGCAGCTCAGTAACCACCTGGTATGGAGACACATATAGTCATCTGCTGCTTCATTTCTAACTTTATTGAAAGCCCTTCTATGGCTTTTAAGAAAATAGAATTGTTTCTGGAGTTGTTTCTCCCTCTCCTGTGTGGCAGCTGTGTATCTACAATGGAAATTCACGGGAAGGAGAATATCATTCCAGCTTTTTGTCCTTCTAGAGTAATTTCCACAAAGCATTATTATGTAAACTCATGTTGATTTTATGCCAGCGAGATTGTCAAGGACTTCATCATAGAAATGTCCAAAAAAAAGGTGTTAATAATACAGGTCTAGCTCACAGATGGCTTTGGGATAGGCTAGGGATAAGGCTTGTCAAGTGTTTTTCACATGCTGCAGAGAGACAGGTCCTGTGAGAGAGCTGTCTGAATTACACTCACCTCCCTGCACGGCTGTACACCCAGGGTGATCAGGGCTGATTCTCCCTGCTCACTCCTTTGTGTTTCCTGCCCAAGTGTTGCTCCTGAGTGGCATACAGAGGTAATCCTGAACCCAGCAGATACAGTCTGCTTCTGCTGAATTTATGAGGGAGGGGAGAAGATTTCTGTCCAACGCATGCATGATGCACAGGAGGTACCTGTTACGAGTTCTTTTTGTTTTGCTGCTGGTGGCAACTATTTGGATTTTGATGCACGTAAAGGAAATGGTAGAAGGCAGACAGGGGAGTAGAGATGTTGTATGGATACTTCAGCCAGCCCCTCAATGTATCATCCCTTCTCTACTGCACTCTCTTCAAGGGAAAACAGAGGTGTCCTGGCAGCTTCTCCAGCCCCTCAGCTAGAAAAATAGCTGGTTTGCTCAATCTTAAGCAGGGAAGAAGAATTTTGAACGACCCTCCCCAAGAGCCTATTATGCAAAACTTGTCTGACTTGAGTGAGGAGAGCAAGTGGAAGAGAATGCTCCCCCAGACAGTGGGAATGAGGAGAACAGCTGACAGCTTTGCCATGTACAGCTCACAGATCACAGCAGTTTGTGAGGCTGTGCAATGCATTTCGAAGGAAAGCAGAAATAAGAGCGGGAGGCAAAGGGAAAATAGAACAACATGTACTATCTTTTGATCAAAACTTAAGAGCTTTCTTGGATTAGGATTCCTGACCCCCTAGGTAAAAGAAACATAGCAGACCTTATCTACCTGGAGTTCAGTAAACCATATGATATGGTGTCCCAGAAGAAGCAAATTAGTGTAGAAGATTCATCTGAAGAAGACAGGGATTATTAAATAAATCCTCAAGTGAGTAAGAGACTGACAGAATTGATACACCAGTTCCTTAATAGGTTGAAGGGAAATTATCTCTGAGGCTACTTAAAGATTGCTCTCAGGACTGATCTTTTTTTATATTTCTGTTAATTACCTTGGCACAGAATGTAGAAATACTAATGAAATCTGCTGATGAAACCAAGCTGGGAGGTATCATGAGGGCAGAGGTGGATTCCAGCACTACAAGAGCTGAAGGCTCTTTGTGACTGGAGTGATCAAGGTGAGGATAAATGGGAGAGTGTGAAGTCACACACTAGGAACTTGTTGCTTGAAGAGTAACAGGAATCTCCATCTCCCAGGAGAGAGAGATGGAGAAAGATAGGGAAGGTTCCTGGTTCAAAGGAGGAGGAACCAGCAATGCTACGTGGGGGTGAAAAAGGCAAGCAAACTTTGAGGATGTAGCAGTTTTTCCAGTTGCAGTGAGTGGAAGTAATGTCATCCAAGAGGATGAGACTTCTCCAAAATAGTGTCTGCAGTGCTGCTCCCCCACATGCAAGGAGGATATTCAGCCTGGAGCAGGTACAGAGGAAGGCAGTGGGGTGGTCAGAGGGATGGAAGGGTCTCAGCCAGCAGTGTGTTTGCTTATCAGTCACAGCAGTGACTGCACAGAGATATTTGAGCTGATTTGAAAATAGATGTGCTACCAGCTTGAGCTTTTCAGCATTAATTATTTTGCACTGAACTTCATGCTAGTGCAGCTACACAAAGTAATTAAACCATGGTGTGATGTGCCTGCAGGGTGAATACTATAAGGGAGCTTAGTTACTTAGTCTGGCAGAACAAAGGTTAAGAGAGGAGAGATTTGCTGCCTATAAATACTTTTAGGAATTGGGGGTTGGGAAAGTAAGTGCTCGGGAGAGAGCAGAGCTACATAAGCTAAAGGACAATGTGGCACAAGAATAAATAGATATAAATTGTCCATGAATGAATTTAGGTTGGAAATCAGAAGGTTTCTAAGCAACAGAGCAGGCAAGGAGGTGCTGGAACAGCATTTTAGCAGCACAAGTTAGGGTGGAAACCTAATGAGATTTAGGACAGAGTTTAGTAAGTTTAGAAAAGGCCATTTGTTTTGTACTTTGCCTGTTATTCAAAGGGATTGAACCTGATAAACCAAGAGGTCCCTTTTTCATTCTATTTCCTGTACTTGCCAGAGTGCCTTATTAGATCTGCAGCCTTGCATACAAAAGCCAGGTAAATCTGGAGCAGAATTTGTGTGATGAGTTTTTGAGCATTGATCCCATGGATATTTAATGGAGGGATTCATTCTGTGCCCGAGATTTAAACAAACAAAAAGAGCAAGCCAAGAAAGACAATGCATGGAGAAGGTCTGCAAATGTGCGGTAGTATAGACGAGAGCTCACATATGAAAGAGCTTCTTCACATAAAATAGGTGTTCCCAGAGCAGCTGGCTATGCTGGAAGGCTGCTTCAAATCCAGCTAGATTCTCTCTTGAGATGTGGAATCTTAAAGATATCGTCTGAAGGGAAAATATCTTGTACATTCCTGCCATTACCAAGGACTTTGTCCTTGAGGAGGATGTCAGGTTTACTGCATTGGGAAATTTCAGAAAAAACCACCACCCAACAGTGGTTGAGTTAATCTCTGCTGCCTGGCCACAGCACTGTACTTATTCTGGTTCTTCATAATGCTCCATGCTGGACAGGCACCTCTGGTACCTTCTCTAAAGCACCAAAGGATGGTACCTTCCTGATGAGATATTTTATCTCAAATCCCCATGCATGGATATGATTGAAAGAGAAGGCCAGAGAGGGAAATTCTCTGTTATACATTAGACCTCTGGAGACAGCTTGAAGGCATCCTCCAGCAGGAAGCAAATTCCCAAGGACAGGCTGGGCCCAAGGGAAGAGGAGTAGCAAAGGCCCCTGAATAAGAACAGTTTTATAGTCACAGTTCCTCATTTAGTAAAAAACCCCAAATTATTCCATATGGATGGATGTTTTCATCTCCCCAACCCAGAGTACCGTACTAGCACAGAGTGAGAAAAGAGGAAACAAGAAACAGCAAGTTGTGAAATATCACTCTGTGTCAGACTCATTTGCCAGTAAAGTTTTCAGCAAGAAAAACTGGAAGAGGTTTTTATCTCACTGAGGAGAAATTGCCATTTATCCCAAAGTAAATGCTTAGCTGTCAGCTTGATGTTACTGCAAACAAAGTAAGGCCCTCTCACCCCTCCTGCTTCCACTTCTCAAGTCTGCAGCATCTCTGAGTAGTTGAGAAGTGCTTTTCAGATGATAATGAAATTGCAGCTCCTATAAACACCCTCCTTGTTTTACAGGTGGAAGGAACCAGACCATGGAGGGCATAAAGGATTTGTCCAAAGGATCAGCAAGTCATTTTTAAGCAAGGAGTCCTCATCTACCTGGTCACCAGACATTCATCTTGTCCTGCAAACTTCCAGCTAGATGGATTGCTGCTTGACAGAAATATGTGTGTATACATATCCACATAAATATGTTTCCGAAAGAAGAAAAGAAAGAACAGATCTTTACCTCTTTTTGCTGAGCCTGCACAGGTAGAGAGAGGAACAGGTAAAGTTGACTGAAGGGTGGGAGAGCTCTAGCACAGCCCTTTGGTCTTGCTGGAGCCCACCTCTCTGCCAGTGTTCGGCTCCCAGAAGAGATCCTGAAGTGTCTGGGGAAGGACACTCGGGGCAGGGTGAGCGGAGCCCCGTCAGCTCCCAGGAGCTCAGCCTGTGGTCTGACACTGTCTCACTGGCTGGACATCCCCTCCAGCCTGGAGGACCAGTGCTGGGGGAGACTCGCTCCTGAGCTGTTCCTGACATGCACTGGCAGCTGTCTGCCTGCTATTCTTTTAAAGGGTCTTCGTGGATCAGGATAAAATGTGATCTTACGCAGGCGGCATTGTAAGCGCAACTTGGCTCAGGTTCAGCTCTTCCTCTGGCTCCCAGCTACTCTATTTTTATTGAAGGAATTTGAGGCTATCAGAAAGGAAGTCAAATTGTTTTAGGAAAACAATAGAAAAGCAACTTGAAGTTTATTAGCTTCCTGCCCAGGGCCTGCGACCAACTTGTCAAACTTATTAGAGTGATGGCAGGACTATTTATTTAAAAGGGCCCACGATTTCATTCCTGTTTGGGCCTTAGTGAAAACAAAGGAAAGCCATAAAATAATATCTGAAGGGAGCAGATGGCTAACTGGTAAATGGTGTAAGGTTGGCCTGTGAGCCATTCCTGGTGTTCCACCAGTGCAATGGCTTTTGTGGGATTTGTTACCAAATGAATGCCTGGACTCGCATTCACAGGCCAGTCTCATCATCCCAGATTCCTTACTGTGGCTCCTATTTTCAAGTGGAAGCCTCACACCTAAGAAAACAAATTTGGCAGGAAAAGGTCTTCATTTAGAGCTACTGAAAGGAGGGAAACAAAGCAGCAGGTCTGCAGGAGAGCCAGGAATAGAGCCCAGGTGTCCCTGACCCTGTTGGACTGCTGGAGCCCCTGGACTGCAAAAAAATATTTATATCCTACAGAAGCAGCTGCAGTCTGCTTCCCCATCTAGCTCCCCCAAAGCAGCCACACCATGAAGTCACTGAATGCACACTGGCACGTGGCTGGTGAGAAGAATGGGCAGCCAAATCATCAAAGTGCCTATGAGCCTGAGCCTCCCTGAGGAGCTTCATGGTTTGCAACGAAAAAAGAAGAGAACAGAACAGGTAACTGAGAAGCATTTGCAAACTCTACCCAGTGCAATGCCACATCCCTTGTTCAGAGGGCCCTCTGCTAACTGAGTGTTTAACCAGCTTCCAGGGAGGATATAGGAAGAACTCACCTCTCCTTTCAGCAGTGCAGTCTCTAGGAACTCTGGCGCTGAGGTACTCAGCTCGCAGAGCTATGCACAGACGCTTTGCACAGCTCAGCAACCACTCTTCAGATGAAAGGAAGAAGAACCCACCTCAAAAATTCTCTTCCTTCTTCTCCTCATTAGCTTAACTAAAAGTGGGAATGCAAAGCTGCAGTTTTCTCTGAGGCCTGGGGCAATAATGCATCTTGTATTGGCAAGTGATAGAAGATCTTGGTTTATATGTTCCCTTTAATTTATCCAGGTTAGGTGTTTATAAAAGAGTCAAACTGAGTGCATTATCTCTGTAAGGCCCTAAGAAGCTGGGTCTTAAAAACTTGGTAATTTTAATGTAAGTGCAACAATCCTTCCTTTATTTAAGGTTTTAGAAGGTTTTAGAAGGTTTCTGTAATTTCTTTTCCTCTGAGATATTGACTTAGTGAACAAATCAGCCAAAGAAGTGTGCTGAGCAATGCAGCATCCCAGTTCATCACAGTCTGTAGGCGTTTACTTCAAATTAAGTACATTCTTGAGTTGCATTGATTGCAGTGTAATTTAATAGTCTGGAAGTTAGGCACCCTACACTGCCAGCCAGACCAGCTTTCCTGGGGCAATTCCAAGGCAGACAGCAGATAGTGGATATACTTCTCCATGGCCTCTGCAGGAAGAGATGCCACATCACATGATGGTGTTCTGGCAGCAGAAAAATATTTTATTTGCCCTTATTTGGGGTCTGCGTCATCTGGACTGGTATCACTTAATCTGTGCTTTGTTCTGGTGAGTAGTGTTTTGATCCTGAATGTGATCTGTGAGTTTTTTGTCCGTCTCTCAGGCCTGCTGTACTCCTGGTAGCCCCTGAGGCTGAGATCCTGCAAAGTCTTGGTCATGTGAGTGACTTGATATAGTTACAGCTTGGGGCCATCTGTGTGGGTAAGGTCCCTCCGTGTACAAATGTCATAGACTGGAAAATGCTGCAGATTATTGAAACTCATGTTTGTTTTTTTCCTTCCAGGACCCAACATGGTTTCTCAGAAGCTCCTGGAATGACAGCAGTTCCTAGCCCGCTGCACACATGGCTGCTGGGAGGATTTCTCACCCCAAAAGGCTGTGACATGAAGCCACGTGGTGCCAGTGCTGGCACCAGGTTTCTGGGATGTGCTCTCCCTTCCTGGAGTTAAGGACTTGTGCTGCTGCAAGACCTCCAGCTCTAAACCTTGAGGCTTTAGGAAAAGTCTGCCAAGGTAGAAGGAATCACAGGCACGTGTCTCTTCCTAAAGCAAGCTTTGGGGTAGGAGGACCTCAGCCTGCTCTATACTTTCACCACAGAGGGAAGAGAAACCAGGAGGTGAATCTGCTCTGAAGGCAAAGATCTCTAGAGCTTTCCCTGGAAGTCAGCTTCAGAGGAAGAAACAGCTGAAAGGATTTGAGGGAAAAGGGACATGTGCTTGGATGATGTTGAGTGAAACTGAAAAGTAAACAGTCTGAGTTATGGGAGGATTCTCAGATGGTGCTTATTGCTCCCAGCCAGCTTGTTCTCTTTTGTGATGGTCTGAAAGAATCTCAAGGCATGACCTCCTGGGTAAAATTAAGAACGTTATTAATTAAAAAAATGCATGAATCATGATTTCTTCCCACCAATTTTGTGATGTGTGTTGGCTGGATTCTGAAGCCTTCTGTGAAGTAAATCACAGCAAATGGTGGGGGCCAGGAGGGCACTGCTGGCCCAAGCAGATTAGAAGGGTGCATTTTATACTAGAAGACCAAATATCCATGAGTGTGCAAGAGCTCACAAGCCCAGCAGTGCTGTGGGACAGGGAAAACGCCTTTTTAAGGGGCTTTCCTTTCCAAAGTGTGCCATGAGCCCTGTGAGAGAAGCAGGCAGCCCTGCTCCTTCATGCTGCACTTCTGTGTGGCTGCATAAAGGCAAATCCTCTCACAGGCATGCACCAGGCATGTGGTGTCCTGCAGATTTATCAGAAGAAAACTTGGAAAAGATTTGTACCCAGTTTTGCTTTCTGGAAGGGTGAATGATTTGGTCAGTTCAAATCTCCATAATTGTTTTTCTGGACACCTGGGTTTCCCGGTAAAACCCTGTCTGTCCACCCGGAGAGGTGAGAGGCTGCAGAGGAAACAGGTGCGTGCATGAGTCACCTGCAGCCACAAAGCCAAGGAAGTGGTGCCCTGGCTTCTCCCCACAGCCACACAGGGAGCCCTGCTGGCTCTCCAGGTGGCCACAAGCTCATGTTTAAAGTTACAAGGAGTGGGGAGGAGGCTAGGGAGTTCTCTGAGGACTGAAGTCCTGCCAGCGGCCTAACATAGAGCTTTCCCCACTTAGCTTCCCATTTAATTTAATTTAATTTAAATTCTCTCTTGGTGCTCATACATAGTATGATGCCCTGCTCCATGTAAATCCAGGCACTGCATTCTCACTGAGTCCTTTGCATGCTGGAGCATCTTGTTTTTATAATGCTAAGTGGAGGCAAAGATGAAGTACGACCACAGGACACATAAGAGAAAACTATCCCCAAAATTGCTACCTGTACATAAGTGTTTCATTTGTGGGTTAATGTCTTTTATCTCTCTGATTTAGTGACCCACAGATGTTTTCAGAATGGGCTTGCACTGTTGAAAAACCCCTGCACAAGCTCATCAAGAAACCTGGGGATAAAATCTGACCAGTAAGTGATGTCAGACAGGATTGTGTTTGCTTGCTGATGTTTATTGCTTTCCTTGAAATGGTGGAAAAGGAAGAAATATTTAGACTTGATTGAAACAAGTTGAAGTAGCTATAAATTCATTGTTCTTGTTATGAATCTTGCAGTTCTGTTTGGCTTCTTGGTGAGAAATGTGAAATTTATTTTCCTTAAAATCTACTCCTCAGGTTCAATTGGGATATGAACAAATAGCTATCAAAATAATAGGCAATTTTTTTCCTGGCTGGGGGTGATTCATCTTTCTGTGTGTGAGAACCAGAGATACCTAAGCAGTGCATATTAGTAGGATATATGGTTTTTGCATGTGATACTCATGTGATGTGGCAGAGGGACTTCCTATAATTATCCTACGCCAGTTGAAGGAGACCAGTAAATTGGTTCTTTCAGCCCAAGAGGAGCCCGAGACTGATTTTTCTGACAATGCTTTCAGTATTTAGGAGTGCTGTCACCAAACCAGAGACACCACAGGATGTGGGCACTGAAAGAGCACTTCAGAAAATGAGTGGCAGTGGTTAAAAGCCACGCAAGATTGCTCACAAGAAGCAGAGAATAGAGGAATGGGAATCCTTGATGTTTTCTGCTATTCCCACACTCTTTCCCCACTTGCCTCTCAGGCCAGATTTGTGAAGAACCATGTTTCTCCCTCAGGGAAAGTAACAATTTAACACAGCAGGGAAGAAAGAGGTTTTGTGATGTGCTGCATGAAATGATGCAGTATCGCTCAACCAGCATCTGGTAAAATGTTCCTAAATAGCCTCATCTTCCTGTATCAGCATTTCCAACATCAATAATTTTATTGGTAATAATCAGTAAGGTCTGGGATTTCTTGGAGGAGGATGGATGGCTGCATTTGGGGAGAGAATCTAAAGGGCTTTGAAGAATCCTGATAGAAAAATGCTGAGGCAACACCATAATTACTGAGCTGAGAAATCTGCAGCGATTTGCAGTTCCCAAATTGTTTGGAAAACATGAGGAATGCTGCCTTGAGAGTAGAGGCTGATGCCTTAATGCCATCAGATTCCTAAGAGATGGAGAACTCAAAGTGCTACAATCTAGGGCGAATCTAAACCTGACTTAAATGTTTCTCCTGAAGCCCCTGTGGCTGTCCATGCTGGCCTCAGGAGATGCTTTCTCCAGAACTCCTTACAACCCTCTCCCAAATACTTCTGAGAGAAGCTCTTCTCCCATTTCTGTCTGGTAGGTGCAAACAAATCCAAGCCAGTCTTCCAGTCAAATTCTTTCTAATCCAGGTCACACAACTTTTCCTTCCACCTGAGCAATCCTTTCAATTTCTCCTCCTCCTCTCAGAACTCTGATCATTCTTGCATTAAAAAAGATACTTTGATAAACTACTTCATATAGTTAAAAAGAATTATTCTCCACCCTGAAAAATGGACTCATGTGAAAACTCCAGCACAGGAACCACGCAAAATTATCTTTCAGCTACCAAAATGATGTGACCTAGGAGCCTGCAGCTTTATAAGCAAATAGACCAGCCTTAGAAGAATCCATGCAGAGGTCAGTGCTGATCTGTGGACTGGTAATCTGGCCTGCTTTGTGCAGGCAATCTGCACTGTGCTGTCTGCACGGGAACTCACATTTTGTTTCCAAGCACAACAAAGCTGTGAGATGGTTCAGCTATGAAAAAAAAGATGATGGAGATGAAGAAACTGTAATGACAACATTAATATTATCTGGCCTCGGTAATGGTCAGAGTTCTCCAAAGATGGAAATTTCTGGGCCTTCTGCTTCCTTTACTCTTCTGCTGTTAGCTCCTGTCCAAGTGTCTGATCCCAGCTGGTGATGGTCAGAAGTGCCCTGCAGCATTTCCAGCTGTTGGAGAAGAACTGTGGTGACTCTGGTGACACAGTCAGTGTGGATAAAACGGAGAAATTCATTCTGGACTGAGTTGTGAGGTGCAGTGAAGGAGAATGGGGACACAACAGAGAAGACCCATCACTTCTTTACCTGAAGGCATCTTAAAGCCCTCAGAGCTCTGGAGCTGTTTGTTCTACTACCCAGAGCAGCCTCCATGCAGCTCTATGTGATAACAGTTTGTTTTCTGATCTATGCCCTTCCTCAGCTCTGCCACCATCCAGGCTGGGCTCAATCTGCCTGGAAAAAAGATAGGCTGCTGGAAGAACCAGTGTCAAAAAGGAAGATTGGTCTCAGCTGATAAAATTAAAGGACAAGAAGTTCAAGTCTCTTGATGTCCCTTCCTGCCTGAATTATGCTGCGATTATAAACTGTTGGGAGCAGATGGTCTGCAGCAGGTCAAGGTCAATGCAGCATCTTCTCTACAGGTAAATGATATCAGTGTAGAGAATTTCTTCAGCATCTCAAGAAAAGTAGTAATAAAAGGAGAAATTATATGTGTTATTTTTCAAAAAAAATCCTCATATCAGGCTGTTAAGGGGGCCAAGTGGCCTTGCTTTGAGAAGGAAGCTTTGTTACAGATCATGAATAAGTAAAAATAAGGAAATTAATGAAGTAGTTCGCCAGTCTAACACAGGAAAATAAAAATAAAGGGACATATCCCAAAGCACAGATACTGTTTAAAATATCCATATATTTTATGACCTGAAAAGGAACAAGAACATGACCAAAATTGTAACTAGTACAAATGTATCTACCTACAGATATATGTATCTGGTAAGTAGTGTTATATATATATAGGCACAGATGTCCCATGGCATCAATAACATTCCTAATTTGGGGGGGTTAAATTGCTCATTGAGGTGGTCTCTTCCATGTTTTAACACACATTTTATTGACTTTTCTAGGTGCATATCTGTCAGAGTGGCCTTTTTTGTTTTGGTTGCTCAGGTTTTCCTGGTTAGAAATAAATGTATCAACTTTTTTTTTATGGCCAGCTTTTCTCAGCAAAAAGGAGACCTGAAAAATGGATACAGACATTCTAGATTTGTTGGCTTTCCCTGGAACATTGTTCTGTGATTGAGACTCCTTTGGCAGAGGATACTTTGTCCCCAGGTTTCACAGCAGCTATTCTTGCCTCCAAGTTCCAGTGCCATTTAGGGAACAATTGCTGAAGTGCCTTGTAGATTGACATCTTTCTTTTCATGTGCCAGGGGATTTCTGAGGCTGTCCCAAAGAGCCATCTCCCCTGCTCTGAGGCACCATGACTCAAGTCCTGTGGGGGCTGTAGCCTGGATTCCTGTGATGGAGTAATCTAAAAGGGCCAGGAGATGAAGCAGTGCAGTAGCAGCGGAAAGCCCTGGGAGGAATACGAGCTGCTGCACTGCAGAGGAAGTGTAATGATCTTTAAGTGCTCCAGGCTCCAGGGTAAGCTTAACTCCTCACAAAAAAGGTTGTAGGAAGCATTTTGTGAGCAGCTCCATGAGTAGAGGCATGATTGCCTAAACATGAGGCTTATTGCTGGAGGAGAAAAGACAGTGTCTTAATATTGAAGAGAGACTGCTCTGCTCATCTTGAGAACAATTGATACGGCACATCTTATGTCCATTTGGCTTTCCTCCGCCTCCCTTCCTCCCTCAAACCCCAAGCTGGGTGTTTTTGTCCATGTGGGAGCTGTTATTCACCAAGCCAGCTTTCTGAATCATCCTGGGAGAGCATCATTGGCCTGGGAATAAATGGTCAGGGAGCACACTGACTGTTCAACAGTACTGATGGTAGTGGGATCAGAATGGAATCTGTGCCTTGGTCCCATTAGTTTGTGAGTTTTGGATGGACCTTCTCTGTCTGAGAGCGCACAAGGTTTGGAAGAGGAGGAAGTTCACAAAGTAAACAATGAAAGTATGAACATGCCACTGAGCCCAGGGAGAGAGGAAAAATTAAATCCTTTAAATTGAATTTATTGGACTGCTTTTTTGGTAGTGGATAAGGTGATGGATTCCTCAACTCCTGGCTGCCCAAACAAGTGGATAAGGACATAACCAACACCTTTGCTAAACTGATGAGCTGATGCAGTAGCTGCTTTGTGTAGCTCTGGACTGATGTGCAGGTTGGTGCTGGAGTAGGGTTGGCTTTTGCAGAGCCAAGTGATTCCAGCCTTTTGTGTCTGTGGTATCTCCATGAGCAGAGTGAGCCAAGCTCTGGGCCTCAGAATTCCCAAGCTGTGCATGGCTTGCTCCGTGCTGGGCACGGAGTACAAGCTGGCAGGAGGCAGCCAGTCCTGAGACAACGTGTCCCTCATCTTTGGAAAACACTATTTGCACACTAACTCTGCTTTTTGTAGAAGGAAGCCATCACCTATTAAACATCTAAGTTTAGCTTGGTTGTCCACTTGTCACAGTTGGAGGAGGAGAATCTTGGCTGATTCCTGACTGCTTTTCAACTTTGGGAAGGTGAAAAATTTGTGGAAAGAATGAAACTGGAGCATTAAAGCTTGCAGAAAAAGTTGGTGCAGTCACACTATTACCAAACTCTTCATTCTTACAACAGACAATGTTGCAGAGCATTTCTAGTTGCTGGAGTAAATATCTTGTGTCTGCAGAGAGCATATGCTGTGTCTGGAGATCCACTCCCTAGTGCACTGTGCTCTTTCATTTGTGGTGTCTTTGAAGTGAATTTGTATATTGATGTTTGTCCAGTCAGTACCTGAAGGAGTTTCATTCTTTCATTTTATCTTAAGGGAAGGAAAATAAAGATCACCACA